GGAATGAGAAGAAATATTTTTGTTATTATAGCATGAAATATTGAATTGTATGTTGAAAAGATTTCTACTGCGCTTGTATCGAATGATGACATAGTTGGCTAGTAAAGAATCATCAAGGTACAATTTTCTTTGCCACACGCATTTAAGTCAATGTTAAACATGAGTTGACTAATTTGCATCATATCGTGGTTTCACATTTTGATCGTCATATTATCATTAAAAAAAAATATGATTATGAAAATATTGAATTTCTTGTATCAATTTTGGCACAATAAGTTATTCACTTTTGCAACTTATGATGCAAAGACAAATACCATAGATGTTAATAGTATTGTGATTTTTCTAGTAAAAAATGAGTCATTCAATTTTTTGAATATTATGTTCATCTCATCAATTGATTTCATGATCAAAGCAAGTATCAACATTTCACTATATGAAGAGTATAAAAAAATGACACATGTTTTTTTAATCTCATCAAAGTGTTTTTGTGATCAAGACATATATCAACATTTCAAGAAATGAAAAATATTAGAAAATAACACATGATTTCTTTGTCTACATTTGAAAATAATCAAATTTTGTTATTTAAATGAGCAACAAATGTCCAAAGGTACAAATCACAAAACTCATTTCAAAAACATGACTAATTCTATGATTGATAAACATTTTTTGCTTTTTTATAGTAAAGACAAGTAGGTTGTTTGTGCTTTGTGTAACATTAATGTTTAAATGTGAAGTTTGATTGTATATAAACCATAAAATTGGAATAATAAAAAGTATTTAAAATGTTATTTCTCTTCTTATATAGATATTACAAACACATACACAAAGATAAACTATGTTTCATACTATCTACCTCATCTCGTATTTGATAACGACATGATTAATATATCTAATGAGCACATTGATTGTTGATTGTTAACGTGTAACTTTCAACTAGCACATTAATTAGCACACTTAATTTAAACTTAACAAGCACATGGATTTGTGTAGTTTTCAACTAACACATTAACTAGAAAACTTAATATTTTTCTAACAAGTACACAAATTTATGTAGCTCTCAACTAGCGGATTAATTAACACATTTAATCTTTATTTAACAAGCACAAGTATTGGTGACGTTTTGCTATCAACTAACACATTTACTCTTTACATGACAAACATACAAAGTATTGATGTATGAACTAGCACACTTATTTTTAACCTATCAAACAAGCATACAAAACACTTATGTATCGTTATCAATTAAAATATTTAATATATACCTATATAATACAAGGATCATTTACTTGACAATTGTAGATAGTCAAATATAATGTGATTATATTTTCATCTTGAATAATCTTTTCTCTTATTTTAACTAGCTAAAAATGTTTACACTTTGTTGCACTTTTGATGTATCGTTGTTCTTGTGTTGTCAACATGCAATACACGTTGGTCATATTAGAATCATGATACTTGACTCAGTCACAACAACGAACTAAAATCTAACAATCTATTGATATCTTGTGTATTATATTATGCATTGAGAAAAAATTTATCAATGACTACTTTATGATGATGAACAATGAATACTACACACGTGGACGATGATGATAATTGTCTACATTCATCCGTGACATCAAAAAATATAAAAATTATGGACTAGTTTGTTGAAAACTTGAGTATGAAATTTTTTGAAAATATTTTTTCATGTGAAAATACAAGAATTGTGAAAAAGATTGTTGAATATTTTATTCCATTAATCCAATATAGAATAATGAAAGATTCAAAATCAAGGTCAAATCAATGTTACATCTCAAGTGATATCTTATAAATTAGTTAAGATACGGATAGAAGTATTTATTACATGCATTATTGATATATAATTTTGTTAAACATTATTTAGAGCAAATATACCATTGATATGATTGAAAAAGATTATAAATCCAAGCAAGAAGTAGAATCTTGAATAAATATACATGATCATGCCACAAACTCAATGATGCATGTTATGACTTGGATGGTAGGCTTGAATACTTCAACCTATTCTTTAGAGTGCTGATTTTCACATTTGCCAATACTTATGTGGAATCTCACTTTTTCATACTAAGGGCCAAGTCACACGACCGTCAACAATTGTAAACCCTGGCAGATCATTGACGGGCGAGCTGTTGTTTTTACCACACGAAAGAGAGAGACAATTTAAAATATTCTAGATGGCAGAAAAATTGATTGCTGTGAAATACTAAGCAATTCAGTTTGAAAATCCGGTTTTTCAGGGATAATGTACTCCAGGTATATATTTGTTTCTTTTCAAATTACTCATATGGAGTACTTCCCACCACATTGGAAATTGCTTGACATTCTTCCAACACAATGGATTCACAAGAAACTCCATTTCATGCCTTCACACATCACGCGTATGTTTCCAACTCTCCAGCTATGAGATTTTAATTCAATGCGTAGTGCAGTTTCATTGCAATTTCATACTTTTTTGGAAGTTATTCACACACGGGTGTTCAAGTGCACTTTAGTTTTCCACACTCCTTTGTGCATTCCCTTCTAAGAATGAAGTTTTCACATACAATTCATAAAGAACTCCATTTCATGACTTCATGCATCAAGCATATAATTCCAACTCTCTAGCTATGGAATTATAATTCAATGCGCAAGGTAATATCATTACAACTCATTTTTTTTGAAAGTTATTCACACACGTGTGTTCAAATGTACTTAATTTTTCCATAGTCCTTTGTGTCTTCACTTCTAAGAATGAAATTTTCATATACAAGTCACTTCGTTTTGTGCATTTTCTCCAAAGAATGAAGTTTTCACATACAAGTCATTTTGCTTTCAATGCCATGTGGAACTCAATACTGATTTTCAAAAACGCGAATTCACTTAGTGTGATGCAATGTAAATGAAAACAAGCAAAAAACAAAGAATTGTCCAAAAAACACCAGAAATTATTCAACTAGAGGGATTGAAAGAGTAAATGGATGTTGTGAAGACTAGTGTACATTGGAAGTGTCATTGGATTATCCAATTGATTACAATAAGAAGAGAATCGCAAACAATACAAAATACATTTTCAGCTCCGCCAAAGCAAGGTGTGTACAAATTTGTTTTTCAAGTGGACTACATCGGTGTTGTTTACAATTCTTGTTCGATTGTTGATGCAAGGCCGTTTTGTATCAAAATGTCGTCTGATCTCTTGTCTCCAGTAGTTTTAATCATCTTTGTACTATGCAACGGTGTTGCTTAGAGATCTTGATCGATTGTTAGTGTAATGCCATTTTGCATCGAGATGTCGTTTAATCTCTTATTCCCATTCGTTTTGGTAATCTTTGTGTTTTCTATCAATACATTAGATAATATAGATCAAGTTATTCATGAAATCAAGAACTTTATGCGTAATTTCAAACACAAAACATTGTATAGGTTGATGGATAGGTTGCATGTAAATGACATAAATCTATATTTTTTGCCGCAAGATTTGAATGCTTTGTTTTCCAATGCTTGAATTTGCAGGTTTGACTAGGAATTTTAAGATTGCTTCTAGATTCAAAGCACCATATTCTCAAGTCTGTAGCGCGTTTCCATTTCATTTGAACTAGGTTTCATTATTTTCTGACTCTCATCAATTCCTCACACCCTATTAGCAGCTAAAGTTTTTTAAAACCTTGGGGTAGCACTGAGTGAAACAAAAATAAAGAATAATGGTGTCTTCAAAAGAGGTATGAAATCGTTTGAATCATGTTCAACAACTCATAATTTGCTAGCAAATGGCAAATCCTTTAGAATCATTAACGTCAACGACGTTGTCAAGATTGAAATCTTTGATGTGTGCTACGATGAATGAGACTACTTCATCAACACAATTTAATTGCTTTATGGTTGCATAGGTTTGTTGCAAATGCCACATCAAAATCATACCTTCATCTCCATCATGACATTTTATCGTGCAAAACAATATCAACTACAATAAAAGAAGAAAAATAAGACTGTGGATGTCATTGCTCATTATGGTAGTCTATGAAAAGAAAGTGAAGATTGCAAACTTGGATGAAAAACACATGGAATTGAGTAATTGGTGTTTAGGTTGCAAAAGTCTCCGTGTAGAAAGAGAAAGAAAATGTGCACTGAAATTTTGCGTACGAGAGTCTCCGTGTAGACAGAGAAAAAAAATTGTGTGATTGCAATATGCTCTTGTTCTCTATAGATGTATGTTGGTAGGTACTTTTCACTCCAGCACTGTATGCTGCGTGGTACAAGTTACGGGATTAGCTCCAAATGATCGAGTGAAGTCACAATTTCATAATCTACTAGCCATGAGTTAAGTGCCGGTTATCGATCATGTGACATCGGCCTAAGATGTGAAAGTTACCTAAGATGTTATCTTGCATATAAAGAAGCACTAGCTATTGAGTTCAATCAAAACGCGTTTGTAATCATAATCTCAATGAATCTACTTAAAATGACGGCAATGTAACTAAATTCCAAGAATAACTTAAATCTCATACTATATGAGGTCTGAATTATATCCTATGTAAACAAGTAGAGATTCTCAATCAATGTATATACCATATGTTGTGTTTGTTTACTCAAAATGTGTAAAATATAAAATTTATATAGAAAAGTATCCGGTTGGAAGAGTAGCTTCATGCATCATGTACAATTGAAATATGAGATTTACTTTTCCTTGAGTAAATACAGCAAAGTATTTGTATTACGTACAAACGTTCATGTTGAAATTTCATCTACCTACGTTTTGGGATTTCCAAACCAGTATCTAGTCCGGTATTGAAATCGAGGAGAACCTGGGCGCCTTTCTAAAAGCGAGAGCCATTTATCCCGATCCTTGTATATGTAAAGATGGACGCGTTTCGGCCCAAAAAACGTGGCTATTTTCGGATGACACGTGGCCCGAGTTGCTGGCCAAGACGGGTAAAAGATCCAAGGACTCGAGCTAAAGAGAATGAGCCCAAATCCCCGATGCTTCAGTTGAATCACTGGACCAAAAAGGAATGATTACTGTAGGTAGTACCCCTCTTCAGACCGACCTCGGAGGTCTTTCGCTTTTCCCCTTGCATCTCCTGGGTCGAGTCAACCTGAGCCCGCGTTTCCACCCTGCACTATTGGACTGCACTAATCATTTGGTTCCATGGCAATTTTGGACGTGACTTTGCATACATGTTTGCTTCCAGCTAGGGTTTAAGCTCGGTGTCGGAAACAGGATCAGAGTCCAGTAGGATGGAGCCTTTGATCCGAAAGAATGGCGAATTTTGAGATGGAGTTTGTGAATTCAAGGCAGGGTCTGCCTGTAGAAATGACGGAGCAGCTGAGGTTCAAGGGCGTAGTTTTTATGGCACGTTGATGCTGTATTCTGATATCAGGAATCGCTATGGAGACTGTGGCGGAAGGATTGTGGTCTCTTGCCGATCGTTGGGAGGAGGAAGGGCGTGTTGGACAGGCGGTAAAGTGCTTAGAAGCAATTTGTCAAAGTCACGTTTCGTTCCTTCCGATTACCGATGTTAAGACGAGGCTGCGAATTGCTTCACTCCTCCTGCGCCATACGGACAATGTGTCTCATGCCAAGTCTCACCTCGAGCGTGCGGTACGAATTTTTTTCTTCAGCATTTCACATGGCATTTACAGGTGTTACCATGTTGACTGGGCTCCCGTGTTTTTGTCGTTAATTGGAATCGCTGTCACTTATCTAAGTTTGTTACAGACACTGGGGGCATGGCTAAGGAATAGAAGCAACCAGCTGAAGAAATTTTTTCATTAAAAAAATTTTAGAGCACTCATTTTATTAGCCGGGTCTGGGAAGATAATACTGCGGTTTTGGAAACTCGGAAACTCAAGACAATAAGCCGTAGAAATTGCAACTGGTTGTTTCATCGTCAAACGGATCTGGAAAGTTTTATCTGCTATCGACTTTCCATCTTGTTTTCATGAGCTGAAATATTAGGGCTGAAAGCAGGGTCTGCTGCTGGTTAAAGAATGATCAGGAACAATCAACTTGATGCACCTTTGGTACTCTCAACGGTTTTTCTCCTTTTTAGTGTTCCGTCCTGAAAAAATGTCATACCTCTGAGTGATCCTGGTGTTTATCTTGTTTATTAACCGCAGGTAATGTGTCCTACTTACAAAGCCACTTTTGAGTGTAGAATTTAATCGGGCCTTCATAATGTAAATCCAATAGCGCTTCACATACATCTTAAACAACTAATTGAGTATGGGGGTTAACTCTTTTATTGGAATTCGAATATATGTATTTAAATATGTGTCAGGGCATTATGAAATACACGCCTTCAATGTAGAGTCTAAAAGGATTCATAACAAGATTGATAATCTGGAGGACTTTCCTTGATATGCCATGTCATCTGGCCGGCATCTTCTGTAGATGTTTTCTCACCCGATTGCCATTTCTGAGAGCATCCTTGCAAGTAGACATGGTTTGCTGCTTGTTTATACCTCCTCTACAGTGAGGCCGAGGTCGTGCCCAAACTATCTAATTTCTTACAGTGCAATATCGTACTTCTTTTTCACGTTGCTTCATAAATAATTAGCGCTAGTACTTTGTAATGATTATTGTATATGTGAACTCAATTTTTGTCGTAAACTCTACTTTGTATTTGTGCAGCAATTACTGTTAAAGCAAATTCCTGCCTGCTATGAGCTCAAGTGCAGAGCTTACAGTCTACTCAGTCGCTGCTATAATTTATTGGGAACTATTCAATCCCAAAAGCAAACTCTGAGAAAGGGATTGGATCTTGCGATGTCAGTTGGAGACGGGTACGCCACACTTTTTCCGCCCCTGTTGTAATAACCTGTTATTATACAATTACCAGTATCTTGATTCGAACCAAATTGTTGAATGATAGGATGAGTGTCTAGATTAAAATCAGATTCTCATGTGATTGTCTATCAGTACTGGAAAGTACACGTCTACATCATCTGACATGTGGAAATCATACAGGTATAAATTTTTCCGTGTCATGGGTATCGCCTGTTCATACCATCACAAGTCAATTGAATCGTCAGTCGATTGCCTCTATCTTTGCTCGATTAGCTTTTTTATTTCAAAGCTCTTGACACAAGTTTTTATCGATATTGAATGCTTGAAATTTATGATTTTTCTATCCATGGAACATTTGTGAGCCAGTCTGCCTCCTCATCTGTTGGAGACTCCGGCTTATTTTCTTTTGGTCTTTTGATTCCGAACAATAGGAGAAGTTTTTTGCTCTGGGCATGCAACTTCAACCTACAACTTGCCAATGCCTTGACCACTGAAGGAGATTATCAAACGGCAATAGCGGTGCTGGAGTCTGGTCTACAAACTGCAGAACAAGCTTATCTTCCTGATCTTCAGGTGAGTTATGTTTGTAGTACAATGTTTTGTTGTGCTGGTATGTCCAGATGTAAATTGGTAAATTGGTCTTTAAACGTATTCGCTCTCGCTTGTATGGCAGATGGTGTTTGCTACCTCGGTGCTTCATGTGAACCTCATGCAATGGGAAGAGGATGCAGGAATAGTGGAGCAGAACATGTCCAGATGTGAAACTTTGTGGAACATGATGCCCGTCGATCAGGTATTACCTTTTAACTTACAATAATCTTTCAAGTTATAGGCGACTTGGTTTGCTGTAAAGTTTTTACTTTTTTTGGTTATTGGTAGCTGTAGATCGGGAAACGTGCATAGGGAAGCCGAGACATGCACTGCAATAAAATTAGACCATAAGAAATGAAGAAAGAAGATACAGACAAGAGTTGTTTCGATATATGCCAGTTACCCATTATTTCTCCTGGGCTCTACCAATTAGCTGGTCTCCTTGTATCACGTCGATCTTTTCTCTCTCGGTATATTCGCGCATGTGTTTGTGACTCCTTGGCCGTTAAGGTAGTCCCCTATAAAAGTTTTCATTGTAAGCTTACACAACCGCTGCTTTGGTGTAGAGGCACGTCTGTAAAGGCCTCTACGTTTACAAGTTGCTGCTACAAGCATTTTTTTCCCTCCGAACGTGCGATTACAAAGAAGCCACTTATCACGTGGCATCTTTAGATACTGCTTTGGCGGATGACACCGAGCCGCCTACTCCGACAAGTGAGCAATACTATCTGCAACAACAGCTGAATTATTTGGAAGAGCAAATGAAGCAGGCTTCCTTGTCACCCGTTGTCTTATCGGACCTTCATGATCAGTATCTAATGGTTCAACGCCAACTCAATCAATGTGCACAACAAAGGCAATACAAGGCTAACCAGCTGGGATTAAGTGAAGTCGGAAAGTTACCTCTGGGCCCAGCTCCACTTGACGAAGAATGGCTTCCTAGGGGCGCTGTCTTAGTCCTTGTAGATCTTCTTGGAGCGCTTTGCTTGAGGCCGAAGGGGATGTTTAAAGAATGTTCAAAGCGCATTGATTCGGGACTCTCCCGTGTCGACGGTAAATGGTTTTTAACTTGTTCCGATGAAAATAGTGAATTCGTCTTTCTACAGCCATTAGTACCCTGAAGACAGTGCAAATTATGTTACAATGCACATGTCCAGATTGGACTTTTTATGGTTCGCAAACTTTGGAAAGCGGCAGTTCATTGTTTAGCCACAGGAAGCCAGCTGTCAAAAGGTTTCCCGTAGGGACTTCATTTACGACTTGTTTTGTGTGATTTGATTTAGTGACTTAGACCTTCAGAGCACCTCTGAAAATGTGCGCTTGCCTGACTTGGGCATCTATGAATTCTGTTCACAGAGGAGCTAAACAAGTTGGGAGTAACTGTTGATATCGCTGGTATGAACGTCTTGGAGATCCATCTATCATGTCGTGTATATATTGCAATAAGCAAGTGCGTTCTTGATTTTTTGTTATATTTTTTAGTGAAGTATTTTTGAGTTTACTTCCAAATTATAGTGCAATGCAAACCACCTCTGCTGTCCTGATGAAAAGCCAGACGCTTAGTTGAGTATGTAATGTCACAGGTTCCTCCTATATCGGATGTCTTCTGACGCCTCTGATTTGGTTATTGGGTGATAAGAGCAGAGGGTGATTTACAGCATTGGGCTATATGGATCGTTGGAATATACTTAGTTTTGTGGCTTCAACTTCTCGAAAACAAAGCTATAATTGATTTGACGCAGACCGATATTTTGGCGACTCAAGAGGTTATTACTTTACGGTTTTACCTTGCGAATGAAAAGTTTATCTAAAAGAGTATATACTTTTACACATGTGATTAGGCGATAGCGACAAAAGTGCTTCAACGTTTGCTCATGGTTGTTATACATTTTGCTAGCTTGCCCGGAACATTCCATGTTTCGGGCTTATTCTTTGTTGCTTGACTGTCTTTGTGCATCTTGTTAAGACAGAGATATAGCTCTTATCGTTGTAGTCCTGGATCTGTGTTCTTCGGTCTTCTTGTTCATAACGAGTTATGTCAACTGTTCGTACTCTATGTTGAATTTATCGGCTTTTAGTTTGTTTTCTCTAGAAAATGCAGACCACACTCGTGATCAAGTGACTTCGTTGACAAGCAGCTTATCATTCAGTTGGATTCTGCAGACTCTGGTGCAAATACTGGAATGCCATGGTCGCTTTTCTACCATGCTACAAGGGTTTCAAAGTAATATCCACATGTTATTGGGACATTATTCACACACTATGGGTTGTTATCAGGAAGCAGTGCTACATTTTGGGAAAGCTTTTAAGGTGATGTTCTGTGAACCTGGTCGAGGCTTGTTTAATTGTTTTCATAAATATTGATTAATTATAGTGGTCGTGATTATAGTATTTACAGATTGAAGGAACAATTTTTCGACACAATATCACTTTTTTCCTGTTCTTATCTAATTTTATTCTCGTTTGCGCTCGTGCAGATGACAGGTAGCAAAGGGATGCAGGCCATGTCTCAAGTAAATGCTGCCTTGTCGTACATCTGTGTCGGAGATCTTTCTCAGGTACCCTTTTAGAGGAACCAGGCCTTTTTTTAGAGTGAGACGTCGGAGTTTTCTCAATATGTCTCATGAGGTTGTTGGGATGGCTTGCATTTCTTTCGTAAATTCTGTTTCTTTGAGTGTCCTCCTTACCTTCTTTCATGTAGCTGGATGTCGATATTTTTCAACCCTAAGGTTCGAATGTCCTTTTTTGCTGAGGCAGGCTCTGGATTTAATAGCGCCAGTTTATAAGAACATGGATTCTTACGTAGGTGTGCGCGAAAAGACAAGCGTTCTTTTCGCATCAGGACTCCTACAAATGAAGCAGAATAACTTACAAGAAGCTCGGTAAGTGGAGATTATTTTGATAAATTTGATTTGATGGTGAGGATTGTACCAATGTCTCACTTTAATGTTTTATCAGTGTCATTATCGTTTGGACGTATAGTGAACGAATTCACTTATAAGAAGCGACCTTTATTTAAAAGTTCGTGTTCATTTTCCAAATCTTCGAACTGTTGTCATTTAATCGTCTGCATGACGGATTTCAAGTTCTATCGTCCCGAAAAACGAAATCTGTTTATTATACCAATATCCCTAGGAAATCCTTCAATAATGACTGTTCACTGTATCGTGAAAAGTCAGTTCGTTGAGCCATCCAGAAGTGCGTCCAGGTGTCGTTCTAAAACCTTAAATATGTCAGTTGGTCTTACTTTTCGCTTCGCAAAACGCATCTCTAAGTTGCTCTCGTTTGTTCAGGACACGTTTAGCGACTGGATTAACTTTGACACACAAGCAGCTTGGAAACCATCAGTTGCTGTCACAGTACTTGACCGTCCTGGGCAGCATGGCAACAACAATGCACGATACTGGTCAAGCCCGTGATATTCTCAAGTCTTCCTTCACCTTGGCCAAAGCCCTTCATGACCTTCCTACCCAACTTGGAGTTTTGTCAGAGCTAACAGGTACGTACAATGGGGAACAGCAGCTAATGGACTATAGATCTTTGGATTCTGTTCCATGAGGATTGCTTTTGACAATTTTGAATCAATTTGAATATGAGGAATCAAATAAGAGGTTGACCCAAACGTATCCAGACTCATTGCCAAAATATGAAAGTTTCAGTAAGGAATGTGACATTTTGACTCAGTCTAATATTTCAATACCAATGAGTACGACGGGTATGATCGTACCCGTCGAAATCAGGCGTCACAAAGTTGAGGATAGAATTGGAAGAGCTAATTGTTCTTATTGGAGACCTTTGGCTAATGGTATGCAATTTTGGACCATGAGGTAGCCGCCGGGCGATTTCATGGTCGGAAGTTGCAGACCGTTAGCCAAACTAGAGATTGTTAGAAAGTCTCTTTAAGTTAGTACTTTTATAGAAAAGAGTAGAAGAACCTTTAGGTTATCCATAGTGAAGTAGTCACAATTCAGGCTGTATTGAAGCAGAATTTTTTGGTTTTAAATTGGAAGAGGTGGTTGTCTGGACATTCAACTGCTCAATTATTGAGCAGTTGGAATGTCCATCAAGCTGTGATGTGACAGCCTGAAAATCAAGTCCCCGCCTTTGCTGAGCGTATTTTTGTAGTAATTATCTGGGAAGAGGAAGTAACTGCTGAAGAGGGAGGACTGCTTTTGAGTGAAGGGGATACTACATAACATGTATTTCCTTATAAATGAGATTCTTAAGTTGTGGGCTATCCAGAGTATGTCTCAGGCTCCACCACATGAGCGAGGTCATGGTACTATGTCGCTCTCGAAATTTGTAAAGTTCCTGCATGTAATCAGATATTAGCAGTGGTCTTTTCTTCAAAAATGCATCGCGGCAAGTAGCAGGGTGGTTCCCCATCTTGCTCTTCCTGTGCTTAAGAGCAGTAGGCCCGCTTGTTAGCTCCTGAAGATCATCATTATCTGTGTATCGACACATTTCAAAATGAACGGGATGGACTCCTAGGAACCCGACAACAGATATCAAACAGTCCAACGCATGATGCTTATAAACGAAATCCATGGGGCCTACTGAAGGTCCACTCATAGCAAGCTACCCTTGAGGCTTGCTGTAGAGAAAAGATCTATCAGGTAAGAGGGTCTTCCTTAAATGACACCTAAGAACCCGGGATTAGATAGCAAACAGACCAGTACACAACGTTTATGAACGAAGTCCACTCATGGTAAGCCACCCTTGAGTCACGCTGTAAAACAAGACCTTGTAGTTTGAAGTTTGACCTTGTAGTTGTAATTATTTCCTACATAACTCGGCCCTACAGCTAAGTACATGAATTGAAAATATATGAGTAATGCTGATTAGGTGTCCATCACTGTCGCAGTACTCTTCCAAGAACTTGGGGAGACTTCTAAGCAGCTAGAAAACGCTGAGTATGAGGCCAGGAAAACAGAAGAGCTGAAGCGCTGTATTGGAGCCGCAAGAGATTCAAAACATCACACTCGCCTCATTCAGGTGCACATGTGGAAATTTTAATTACCCCAGTTCTGTTCCTGTTTTCTTTGTTTGATTATGATGAATGTTTCAAGAGCGCATTCTAAGGATCTCTTTGTTTTAGAAGTTTGATCTGATAAAACAATCGCAATATCTGTCTTCTCTGAACTAGACCTGTTTTTCGTCTGATCAAGGAAAGTGTGAGATGGTGCATGTGATGTTCTGCAACTCGCTTGTGTAAATATTTAGTTATGGACTTCCATTATATCCATCAGCAATCCATAGGTAGTGTTTTGTGAGATCCATAGGCTTGTGTTCACTTCCCTGGAAGTCTTTCAAATTTCTGTGCTGACAATTATTGTTTACTTATGATTGCAGTACGGCTTGTCGTGATCGATAAGTCTTGTGGCGGATATGTACCACAGGGAGTCCAAACCCGTTTTTCTGAACAATGGCTGTAAATTAAATTTATTGTAGACCAGGGATTCAAGCCAGGTAGGTGTCAGATATTGTCTGTTCGTAGCTTCGTGCTCTACGAACAAAGTAGCTATCACATTCATCTGTGATTTCAGTGGTGAATTTGGATAGAGGTTTAGGACCAGAGGAATCTGGGGCAGTGTTCGCCTCCTCATGACCCAATCTTTTCTTGGGTCAGAAGTAGAGTTATTGAATAGAGGAAATTTTTGATCCCTTACATCTGTACATTAAAATATCCCCATGTACTGGGTTGATCAATCTCTTAATCTTTCTCCTCGCTCTCAGTCTCTCATCGATCACTACTGTTGCTGGCTGATGATGCGACCGACGGGAGCAGAAACAATAGGCGAGGTTGTCGATTAGGAAAAGAAGATCACAGACTGTACTCAACACTTCCTAGAATTTCCACGAATATTACGACAGATTACAGTACACTTCAGTCTTTACACAGGACTGTCATTAGCAAGAATTGCTAGTACATCAATCAGTGAGTTGCGCTGATCTCTCGGTCAGGCAGACTCTAGGTGAAGTTATCAAAACTCTTGTACCATATTGGAACATTGAGGAAAGAAAGTGATCCAGTTTATCATTGAAAGTGTATTTTGTAATGCCTATTTAAAATTTCAACTACATGACTTTCGTGTATTTAAAGCATGTCGTTTCAAGGGATTTATGTATATTCAGCCTGAGCGGTTGGGACAGCTGACCGATTGCCAGTTGTCATTTCTGTTTTCATGTTTGCCTACGTCTCAGAAAGAAAGTTAACGACTGTTCAACAGCATTTTATATCAGACCGAGCTTTATGAATTTCCGTGTTCTTATTTTTGGTAATTTCACCTCGATAATTTAGTTTGTATCGTATTTTATTGTTCGTTGAATGAAAGACAATATTCACCTCACCACATGGGGAGCTTCATTGTCAATCCAAGTCATTGCTCTGTTACGGAAGTGACAGGTTTGATTGATTTTTCTCGATGGGGAAGGAATTAACCTTGAATTGTCTTCCTTCTTTTAGCTCATTCTCTACGTGTTCAAAATCGCCCTCACTATTCAGAAAGTACTGTATAGGTATAAACTAAATGTGTGCACATTTTCGAAACATTAGACATACTTACCTTAAATTTGCCGATCTGTACGAAGACTTTAGATTCCAAAATCAGAGGGAAAGCCATAAATTGATGAATTACAGATGAAAAGCGAAGAAACCACGTGAAACTCGCGTTATACCGACGTGAGATATCATGTAAGATGGATGGATGTTGCTTAATACTGAGAAACTAGAATAGGACAATCCGCGGAAAATGTGAAGTATTGGATTCCAACTTTGTTTAATAACTGACTAGAAGCGGTTTTTACGAGATAATGTGTATGAAATGATGAGTGAAAATCATCATCTCATTAAAAAAAAGTTCACCTGATTGCGTTCCTGATTTCAAGGGATGGGTTTTAATCTATTGAATTGAGCTTTATTAATAATGAGATATTCAAAAAGTCACAAATACCCTCTTTAACACATTGCATCATTAATCTTTGTGATTATAGTTATATTCCAGATTATATTAATCATAATTTAAATAATAACAATAATGTTTATGTTAGTGTTCCGACTAGTTAAGCTCCTACGGCATGTGATATGGAACCACTGATCGAACTGTTCATGATAGGGCCTTTGCAAACCACACACCAGCTCACCCATTAGTGGCACCTTTGTTATTCCTGAAGCTGACGAGGGAGTTGCTCATGAGAATCGCAGATCCTGCTTTTTTGTCCAGGATGTGCTTTTTATGGATAATTACACAATTACGTCATATTACATGGATATTTGCATGTAATAGTTTTTAAGGTTTTTCCGTCAGTTACCAGAGAAAAAGATGTAACATCTTTGACCAAAGTGGATGGATTCTAAATGCACTAGTAAAAATTGTACCAAGCAGAAATCACACCCTCTACTATAATTGTAAAGTTGAAAACTCTTAAGACATCTTTCTTGTTTGTTCAGATAGACTCTCAAGAATGAGTTGACCTACATGATATGATTACCTTAATTTAGCGGCATAAAATTGTATGCAATTAATATTAACCATTTGTCTTAATGATACTCCAATGTCTTATTTTTTATTTTTATTAAGTACTTTCATGTGAAACTTTATAAACGAACAGTTTCAGAAATATAAATTTCAAAAGTAAAGTTGAAGATTGAAGAAGAAAAGAAGAATGAAAATTTTGATGATTGACCTATCTAGATACATCCAGTTAACATGGAGAAATAAACTCTAAGAAAATTGAAAAGAAGTGTATTTTCCTTAAGGAAGAGCCGGAAAGTATTAAATATATGTGAAAATAGTTGGAATTTCAATGCAATTTATTATTATTCCGTATTAGAATATTATTAATTTCGTCATTATAATTATTGATTCAAGTGTGACTATCAAGCCACACATAACAGCTCTTAGTTATTTATTGGGTTTACCCAACCACATTTAGAAACTAGATTTTGTGCAAAGCTTGAATGTGAAAGTGATTTGATGTCAAGGCGGGAATCTATTATTTAGTAGACTCATAGAGAATGACGAATTTTATGATACACTCAAATATAATGTAGAACCTCCTTGCATAAAAAACTATAAGACGTTAAGTTTTTAGATTATCTTTTTGTTCGAACTTTTTTTAGTAAATATTTCTCACCATTCCACTAATTTTTTGGATTATAAAAACAAAAATAATTCCAATTTACGTAAATTCATCAAGATATCACCTAATCCTCAGCAATAAATTTTTAGGTTTTCTTAGCATGTAAAATCTTTTACTATTCATGAAAAAAGTCAAAATTATGGATTACATTTATTATAAATCGCTGTCATATACACTATGAAGTATGCACATAAGATTACATACAATTCGTTAATTCGTTATCTGCAGATATGAATTTACGACACTTAGTGCTCAGGCGATGAATTTCAAACTAGAACTTTGAATTGGCAGATTTGAGGTTGAAGTTTCAAGTAAATGTGTTGATGAAAGATCTGTAAGGCAACAGGCTGAAAAGAAAAGAGGATGTGACTTGATTGCAAATTCTTATAATTTAATGCTCATGAATGAAGTTTCTCGTCCCAAAAAACTATTTCCAAACTTCACTTTACACCCTATAAAAGACTAGTGGAGCATTAAATTATTAAGTCGACGTTTTCTTTCGTGTCTTCTCTAGACAACAAAAGTATGTAACTGAAGCATGTAGCCGTTTGAAGTTTATGTTGAGAATGGTGTGAAGTGAATTAGTCGTCCAAATTCAACGCTGGGCCTACGATCCCTTGTTCCAAACAAAGAAAGATCATATGTACAATGCTTTCATTTCCTCGTCGCATTTTCCATACATACTGTGATGACATTAAATTCATACGAGAGAGGAATTGGGAATCTTATAGCAATTTGACTCCGTAAGGAAAGCCCGAGGTCCTGAAACCGCGGGAGTAAGTGAGATAGACAGGAAGTAAAATATGAAGGGCATTACGTAAGGGGAGAAGAAGACACCTTTCACTCTTGGAAGGATTATGGACGTCAACTTCGGTCCTGGAACTGCATTCTTAAGACAATGAACAGCAGAAGGAATGACCTACGTCGAGAAAGATTTGTAGGCCGCACTTTTGAACCTGTACGCTTGGTCAGCCTTAAAAATAGGTGTATATAAACCGCAGCTGCAAATCCCCCCTCGTCCCTTCGGGGACATCCGAAAAAATTGGATAGATACAGAGAAGATTAGCATGGCCCCTGCGCAAGGATGACACGCACAAATCGAGAAATGGTCCAAATTTTTTTGACGATTTTTCCCTCGGATTATTGCGGTTGTGAGTGTTCTCCTGAACGTAAACACTTATCGCCGCCTGCTGCACCGCCCAAATCAAGCAAAGAAGAAATAAAGGTCAAATGAATGTGTAGCATGTCGATCAAATTCATCATATGAAGAGTAAATGGATAAAAAATCTTCCAATTCAGGATTCAACAATATATGAAAAGATTAAAATATATATTTTTTCGAATTTCTACTTTGAATACAAGTTGTAATCATTTAATAAGTATATGAACATAGAATCAACTCAAAGTTATACGATCAAATTTTTATTTTGTTTTTCTTAATGTAATGCTTTGAGTAAGATGTACATAGATCATTGAATAAGTATATTAAATTTTTTTACAAGTAAAATTTACTTCGATGTTTTGCTTTTTGCACTTCATCTCAGCAAAAGTAGATTAAATTTTTTTACATTGTGCATATTCAAATCATGTGTTATTTTAAAAAAATTGAAGAATGTGCTAGTAAGATAATATTTTGTATGATAAAAAAGTGCAAGAGTTTGAGGAGAATTTTGAAAATTTGAACAAAAGTAGACATGTATGAAAATCAAATGTAATCATCAAAAAGGAGTACATTTGGAGCTATATTTGTGCTCTTAGATCATTTGAATAATGAGATAATTCAACTAAGTTATTAAATAACGAACTGCATTGGAATGATGATATGATATGAGTATGATCTTGAAAACTATTCTTGGAAGAAGATGCATCTTCTTATTATAATAGATTCAACCTTTGTTAAATAGACTTGAGTGGTATGCATAAAAATAGTAAAGTATATAATTGATGGACAACAATATTTGAAAAGTGGTGAATTATGTAACGAATAAACAAGTGATGGATATACAAATCGAAATACAACTTTACTTATTGATTTTAAAATATCTAAATAGACAGATTAATGGTCAAAGTCAAATGAACAAATATCGTGGTTTACAATGTAATCTATTTCTCAATTTATATGTAGTATACTATTAACTTGTTGTGTGTACTTGTGATTTTGTTTGATCTTATTTTGAGCATAAATATACGGTCATTTTTTATGATAATTCAAATAAGAATGTGTGTGTTCTATATTCACAGCAATTCAAAACATTTTCACTAAGAAAATTCTTAAGTAAATGACAGAGCTTTTGATATTTCTTCTTTACAGTGATAGCATAAACTAAATCCTAACTCGGAATAAATTACCTAATTTTATAAAAACCTCAGTTAATACTAAGAATCCCCTTTTCAACTCATGACGTGGTATATTAATCTACATATCTATACAATTATTTTGCGATAATTTTAAAAAAGAAATCTAACATAGGCTTCTATTCAATCGAGAGCTAAATTATAACTCAACTGATATTCATTTTTTTTGTTATAAATAATTTTTGTGTTTAAAAGAATCAATTGACATACAATCATTCAATGATTAATACCATTAGATAATTAAATAGCTTTTAAATTTTAACAAAATGATTTTATACATGTAGATCATCACAAAAATATGAAAAAAATATAATATAAAAATATAATATAAAAATATAATACTTGAGGAATTTTTTTCTGAGTTTAATTCTTCCATTGGCTGAAATTGCCAAAAAATAATTTTTTTCTATGAATTATCAAATTTCAGCTATTTTTATCTTTTTTTAACAATTCCAAATAATTATTGAATATTTGTCCATTTAGCCTAAATTACAACGGTTCAAATGATTCTAAAGGTGCAAATTTACAATTGCTTCCTTTTTTACATGAATATCATTAATTAATAATGATCTGATAATAATTGAATCATGTGAAAATAAAGAATGAATTTAAGTAATGCATGGAGTTCTGATTATATGATGACATTCAATAATTGGCGTATATGAGATGTAAAATTCTATATAAGAAATTGACATATATCATTGATTGAGCTTTGGATGTTGTCATACATGATTGTTGGGTATATCTTCAGAACCAAATTGGATATAAAATTGTTTATGTTAAGTTTTGTATCACACACATGAAGTTAAATTTACTTTAGAAAGAATTTTGAAATTTGATGGTAGTGTATCTACAATAAACTATTGATAAATCTTATAAATAGAAAATAAACTTGAAGTATGAAGCATCCACACTTCATCAATATGACTTGAAACATGAACTTCATAAAGTGGCAAGTACATCCTGAAGTTGATATACACTTAGCAAATGAAAGTGTTCATAATTTAAAATACCAGAAGAAGCCAACTAGTAGTCATTAGTGATGATTATTTACATCAAATAAAAAAAATATTGATGATGGGAGTTCCTTTACCAGGAAGGAACTCTAATATTTGAACGTTCTAACATGGCATCTAACTCGTGCCCAATCTAGCTTTAATCTCATCGTCACAAAACGTTGAAATAGAATAATATTCATGACAAAAGTACTCTGGGAATCTTCGTATTGGATGTGTTTTGATTTCAGCTGAGCTATGAAAAATTATTATATAGATATCTGGATCCTTTGAGATACATTTGGTCGAATTCAGATTCAATTAACAGAATAAACTTTCAAAAATAAGAAACTTGTTTTGAAATATTAGCACAACATATATCGTGAATCCATGAATGTATATTGCTATTTTTAATTAATTTATAAGCATTGTATTCGGTTGTAGTGTGAGGATGATGTTCTGCGGTGAAAATACAAATTACAAGAATACATATATGAAGTTTTTTATTCAATGATGTCGTCACACTTTAAATAAAAAATTGGCTTGGAGGTATGTTAACAAATCGGTCCACTGTAGAACTCGTCTTCAAAAATTTAAAGATTTTGAATACGTATGTACTATCAATTAGAAATGAATTTTGATGGTTTTCACGGAAAATAAAATGGAGCAATATTTGGGATGACATCCAGCAATTCTGGCAAGCAATATTCTTAATAGATATAAGGAACCGGAGTTGCTACCTGGTCAGTTCGAAATCCAATACGTTCAGAACGCGGGAGGAAAGCGCCTTGTGGAACTTTTAACTCGAGTGCTCTGAATGTTGGAGTAATATGAAAGTCACCACCATCTAGAAGGATCTGACATTTTGAGGGCAAACCTCTGACAAAGGTGCAAAAGAAGAATCACGGCGACTAGATAGACTCTTGATCCTGTCTTCTCTCTGAAGCAATATCTGGATGGCATTTTGTGTATAAATATAAAAATATTTATTCAAATTGTTTATATATATATGAGCTAGACATGCGACTGAATATGACTTGTCTTAGGTAGTCATGTCCACCTTATAACAGGCAGGGAGACGACGGAGGCGGTACTTTCGGGATCCTGACGTTTCCCGGGGCGGTATATGTTGTCTCTCACGCGATGGCGATCATGGAGCCATACATGCATCACATACCAGAGGATACGCACATGGCCAGCTCCCAGCTCACACATCCAAGCCTCGTCTGTGCCGAACCTGTGTCGAAGCCATCCTTCGTGCGTGCGTGCTGACAGCGTCCAGATGGCGTTCCAGGAACGCCAGCTGTGTTACGCAATTCCGGACCCTGCCCAACCAGACGCGACCGCGTGGAATTCCTTCCCGCTGCAGCTCGTCAACTCACGGCACTGGCCGAATATGCGAACTCGGAAGACGTACGACAATGACACGGCTATGGTCTGAATCTGGAGGTTCCTCCCGGCGTAGCGACGAGGCGAGTGACGCCGAGACCGCGGTGACCCGGACGGCAGCATCTTGCCCGCACAGACAAGTCCCGGCGGGGGAGCAGATTGCCGGATGCCATTGATTAGGGTTTGGGGCCGGAGCTTCGGCATGATGCTGGCTGGCTTGCCTGGACCAAAGCTTGCACTTCGTCTGGATCGCTTTTCATTCTCGCTCCTGCTGCCGGTGCGGTGTGTGCCTCGCTGGTCTGCTCTGCTGCTGCTGTGTGTGTATCTAGTAGTAGAGCGGACTAGCTTGACTTTGCCTTATTTAATTGAAGATATGGTGGAGGCTTAGGTAGAGCGCTAAACTGCTTGCGGCCGGTCTGACAAGCGTTTTATTTTAGTCGCTTTTCTCCCAGCGTCTGCGTTCAACCTGTTTGTCTCGCGCTTTTACTGTCTTTCTTCTCTTTCATGGTTTCTGGATCGTTAAGGAGTGGGAAGGGTGGGAATTTGAAGCAGAGGAGCAGAATTTGATTTCGTGGTAGGGATCGGTGGATCCTCGAGCAGGAACGAAGAGACTGTGGGAAGCATTCTGCTTAGTGGCGGAGGAGGGCGGTTGTGTAGCGGGGGTATTGCTCGTCGGCAGGAAGTGAGTACAGTGGTAGCTATGACCAACGAGAAGCCGTCGGGATGGAGTTTCTCGAATTTTACGTCGAGTGTATACAACTTTGGGAGTGCTGTCCAGAACAAAGTGAGCAGGTATTGCATGGCTCAAGTAGCAACCCTTCCGATATGCTTGAAATTCGAAGGATAAGAAACGAGCAATTGTCCTGTCGATCACAGCAGGTCGTCGGTTTGGTTCCGGGAAGATCTACTACGTTCTTCTTAACGCGGGGTTTGCTTGCCGTTAGCGTGGGCAAGGTGATGGCGTGTAGAGGCCGTTAAGCTTAGCTGCCGATTGTTAGCTGACGTTAAGGAAGCTGGAGTGGACACCAGAGTGCCGTTGTTTCTTCTTAACTGATGAGAGAGTAGCACGAGGTGCTGCGAATGATCGTGCCAGAGCTTAAGTGCTTCAGGTTTGCTTGATCTGATGAATAACAACTAGGTCTATTCATCGTGGTGAAGCCAGCCATTGTCACCGTAATCAACACGTAATTTTTGCAGATCCCGATTAAACCAACCTTATATATCGAGATTCTATTGAAGTTTGTGACTAATGCTCTCTACGTAGTTCGTAACCCTCTAGATAGGGATCTGTCGTGAAATACGGCAGATCGGGCTTTACACTCTCGTTCTGATGGACGCAGCGAAGGTATTAACTAGGTCTTGCGTTCACCGAGGATTTGGAATAGGGTCATCGGTTTTGAAGGTTTTACTTATGTTCGGTAATACCGGCGGTATGTTCACCTGGCTATTCGCTTTTCTGCAGCTTGCTCCCAGGTCACGAGGGACTAGAAGTTGTTAATCCTGAAGGCAGCCAGGATGACGCGGAGGAGGAGGCCAACAAGGGTAGATTCAAGCAAGAGGTCAGTGTGAATTGATCAGGAGTTTTTGGATCAATAGGATTTCAAATTCTTTGGACACATTATCTAGAAAAATCTTAGTAGGCTCCTTTGGGCTTTAGTAGTAGTAGTTAATGGGTCCAAGTAACAGAACTTCGTGACAGGGAGAGGTTACTTTCAGATTTGCAGGGTCACTGTTTCAATTTGGGACAGAGGAAGCATCGGGCGGAGATAAACGAAAATTATCTGAATTGTCTGTAGTGTACAATGCAAGAGTAGTAGCACTTGTTGTGATGACCCAGCGCAATGCAACCGTTAGTCTTTCCTTTAGCTTAACGGCGGTTCACGGAGTTGTGAAATGTCTGGCCTCGCGTCTGCCACCATTCCAAATGCTCTTCACAGAAACCTTGCCGGAACGGTGAGAATAGTGCGCTTTTGTTCTGGGCATAAGTCTGACATTGCCGTGGTATGAAAACCTTCAGGATCGTGAAAGCTACTGGAAGATGATGCACAAGTACATTGGGTCCGATGTCACGTCAATGGTTACTCTTCCTGTTATTATTTTTCAACCAATGACGATGTTGCAGATGATGGCAGAGGTTCGACAATTTTGACCTTTTCGATTTTTTAATACAATCGTACTGGAATGACTCAATTAGAGCCCTTCAATGTTTCTGTTGGAAAATGGGCCTTAAATCTGAGCCCCTTCACCTTTTTGCTCTGTCCTTCAAATGCAGCTCCATTAAATATCCTTTACCGAACACGAATTTCTCTCGAAAAAATTGGGTCCTCTCAGTGCGCAGGGAGAGCTCTACGTAAGATTCTCATTGACAACACGTTGTGGTCTTGTGGACAGTTGATGGAGTATTCTCATCTCCTCGACCTTGCAGATCAAACTGATGACCCACATCTGAAGATGGTGTATGCAGGTGGGCACAGGTTGTGATTTGCTTGCGGTTTTTTCGTATTATATATTTGGTGTGCGTTCGTCAGTTTGTGTTATCAGTCCGTTTGGACACGCTTCCAGTCCCTTTCCTTGTGCTCTACGCTCATCATGACATTCACTCTTAGGGTTTCACCCACCATTTCTTTTCATATACATTTAATTGTATCAATACGATACTTACGATGAGATCTTACTATCGATATGCTTTTGTTCCGTCTAAATCTCATCTTTATATACATCGTGACTATTCCTTCCGCTCTTGCTGTTTATCAGCCGTAGTGTTGGCTTTCGTGGGCACATTTTACTTCTGTTGTATGTGTGTTCTAGTCCACTTGTTAGTTTGCTAGGGCTGCTTTGTGGTCTATTGGTATACTGTATTTATCGATCTGTACGTGGCATTTTCAACAGTTTCGTGGGCTGTTTCTGTATACTACGCATATCAACGGACATGGAAGCCTTTCAATCCAATCCTCGGAGAGACCTACGAAATGGTGAATCACAACGGCGTGACTTTCCTTTCGGAGCAGGTAATTTCCACATGTGAAGAGGGGATTCCACCTGAACGCATGCCTTGGCTTTATGTTATCTACAGCGGAAGTTGTGAGTTTGAGTGGGAGGAATAATCTCTGTGATACGAAGGTTCAAAATTGTAGTCAGATTGCTCTTTACCAAATGTCCTGACTACTGTTGCGAGTTCGACGTTAATCAATGCTTTGCAAGTTTAGTCAGGAGCCCGTTTTAGGTCCTGACAAACTTGTACATTCTGGCAGGTTAGTCACCATCCACCCATGAGCTCAGGTCATGCCGAAAGCGCACATTTTACGTATGATGTGACTTCCAAGCTGAAGACGAAGTTTCTAGGAAACTCGGTCGACGTGTACCCTGTTGGAAGGTGACTAAGTAGTGATTTTTCTGTCAGTTGTTTTCGTGTAATATACGTACTGTATATTGGCCTTATTGATGTAACTAATCTACCTTCTATATTTTTTTCCAGGACGCGTGTAGTGCTGAAAAGAACTGGGGAGGTCCTAGAACTCGTGCCACCTCCAACGAAAGTGCATAACTTGATTTTTGGTCGAACATGGGCGGATTCACCCGGTGATATGATCTTGACAAACCTTACGACAGGAACGAAAGCTGTACTCTATTTCCAGCCTTGTGGTTGGTTTGGGTAAGAACTTTTCTCTCATTAGTTTTCAGGCCGTTGTATATGTTGTTCCTGATGATGCGGCTACTTGAAGTTCAGAAGAATTGCACTGCTCTTGCAATGTATTCTAGTGCTCACTGGAAAGACAAGGAAGGTGGCAGTTGGTGGACTGCATCACCAGAAATTGCTTGAAATGGGTTTTTTTTTCAATTAGAAATGTTGTATTCGTCTTATATTACAGTGGTTACTGTCTGCCATGCCGTGTTGTACTCTGGGGAGTGTTTGCAGTTAATGCGCCCTTATGTGTAAACTTTTTCATGATACATTGATATGAGCAATGTATGGTTCTTTATTCTTCAGTGCTGGTCGTCACGAAGTTGATGGGTACATCTATGATAAGGAGGAAATACCGAAGATGCTAGTCACTGGCAAGTGGAGCACTGGTTTGAGCTATCAGCCGTGTGATGTGGAAGGAGAGCCGCTGCCGAATACAGAGCTGAAGGAGGTTCGTTTTTCTATCGTTTCTTGTCTTTTGGTAAATGTTTCAATTTGAGCCGCACGCTGAACAAAAACTTCGTGAGATTTCTGACCCTTTATTACATATTTTATCAAATTTAAGATGGTGGTTGAGATGTTTCAATGAAGACTGGATTAATGATCAACTCCATTCCATCTGAACCATGGTGGTGCAGGTGTGGAAAGTTGCTGAGACCCCCAAGAATGACAAGTATTCGTTCACACACTTCTGTCACAAGCTCAATAGCTTTGAGACTGCTCCGAAGGGATTGTTGTCTTCGGACTCTCGATTGAGACCTGATCGTCTTGCTCTTGAGCATGGTGACATGAGCAAGGCAGGTTCTGAAAAGTCAAGGTTGGTGCTTCCTCTTTTTGAGTATTTAGCGCTTAGTATCAAGAGTGTGGACGCGTGGAGTAACGGAGGATTGATGTGTCAATTTGTAGTTTGCCAGCAATGAAATTTTATGAGCTTTTTTGAGTCGGTGAAGTTATAATTTCGTCTGTTTACAAATCAGGTTGGAGGAACAGCAAAGGGCAGAGAAGAGGCAGAGGGAAGCACAGAATCTGGAGTTTACTCCAAGATGGTTCAGACTGACTGGAGATGTTACTTCAACGCCTTGGGGTGACCTTGAAATATATGAATACAATGGGAAGTATACAGAGAGGAGGGCAACCATTGATTCGAATCTAGAACACGATAACGCTGACCAGAAATCCATTAAGTTTAATCCTTGGCAATTCGAGAATTCTGAAGACCAAGGGCACGCACCACCTTCGATCTCTCATCCAGTCATAAACGCGACGTCCTGAAACATCCATGTATCAAAAAAATTGCTGATTCCTCAGTAACTTGTGAGATGCGGGGGCCCTTCTTTATCCACGTTAGGTACTCGTGCCCAGTGAATCTGCTCTCCTCTCTTATTCTGTGTAATTATCTGAATGGGGCGATATTCACCAACAGTATGAAGGGCAGCATCACTAGGTGGAAGCATTGCGTTCAGAAGTTTCTCACGCTGAGGATCAAGAAAGAGTGCAGTGCATCGAATGTTTGTAGCTCCTTTCAAGTGTAAACCAGGTTCAGTAGATTGGGCCTTTTCTCTTATTGAACACGGTGAAACAAGGTTTATCGCAAGCTGTCACCTTCTTTTGGCACATAAATTCCCAGCAAGTCGATCTCACGTGAAGATTTCCTAGTTCTGTTTGGGCCCAATGCTTTGGGCCACGATCGTCGGCCTACGATATGAATTGCATGATTGGTGTATACTTATATCTCTGGTTTCGGAACTTTTCAAGTAAACTGATCTTGTGTATATTTTTCGTTTCTTAGATGGTACACGTTTGCAGAGTTTCTGTTCCTTAGAGAAAGGTTAATGTCGAATGCTTTGAACTCAGGAATTTCCTTTTTAGTCCATTGGGAGGTACTTGTCCTTCATCTGCTTAGTGGAAGACTTTTGATGTCGTGTTAGCTTTTCGTTACGAGGAAGAAGACTCGTAGAGGACATGAGTCTATTAATTTGTTATAGGCTTCTTCACACCGCGGACTCCGCTGTCAACAGCATCTGTAAATTGTGTAAAGATCTGCCACAGGTAGGACATACCAATCAATTATACTAGTATCACCCATTTCGTTCGAGATAGAATGAAACTATATGGACATTAGTATGAGAGGGCATAGAGGTATTTCACTGGAAAGTAGCCTGAATGTGATTGTTCCCTGGTTAAACTCGTGAGTATGATGTGCCGGAGTTCGGCTTCAAAAGTGCATTATTGTGACTAACAATCAGCCGGCGTAGTTGCGATTGGTATATGCTCTTGCAATGAAAATCTCTTATCAAGCTAGCGTCGTGAGATGTCCGGGATGTGAAGTTGAGTAGATAGTCTCCGAAGATTTACTACTCTTTACCTTACTTTTACCAGTCCTCGATTATTACATGTCACCATTTACCCAGTACTCTTGTCATATGTGTCATCATTGCTTCTATTTGCTGGAGGAAGACATTCTTCACGGGAGGTGAAGCGCCATGTAAGAAGAAGTTATTGCCGCATCGCTTTCTGCGTAAGCTTTCTGCATCTCTACGCCTGCGTTCAATGGTGATTGCGGATTTGTTTGGTCATTTTTGGCTCTAGTGTTTTTAAGCTTATGCAAGAGAGTCTCGCAATTAAGGAGACCGGTGACATATAGAGGCGGGTTCTTTTCGCGATAAGCAAAGTCAGGAAGGTATATCCCCGTCTTCTCGGGCAGGGGATGAGGATGATGAATTTCCCCCACTAACATGTTCTATTCTAGGGACATTGTCTCGCTACACACACACAGGAACGTCGTGACGATGTATGGTTAAATTTGGGAACTGTTTCGGGATTTGAATTCTGTCACAGGTGGCATTGATTAATCCTGACCACCGAAGGGTTTTATCTGTACTCATATCGTCATCACAAAAGCATACGCATTAACATAATGTCCTCATCGGGGCGTTCGTTTCCACATGTTCGGTGCTCCAAACTACAATCTGGACGCCCACTAGACCGCGCACAACATTCCATCAGATTGCGGCTGAATTTGGATCTATAGCGAGTACATGTTTCTGTTGAAACAGTCCATGATGGACACGAGGCTCCTAACTTAAAAAATGCTCCGTGGCCGTCATTCCAGACCCTGCACTGTTCCGGAAGAGAGCCGTGTCGTCTCTCCATATTCTTTCCAGGTGGTCCACTGGCGCAACGATGGTGGCGAAGCCTGAAAATGCGCCAAGATGATATTGATGAATGAAACCGCGAGCTAAGAAAATCCGTAGCCGGAAACCCTACGAATCCGTGATGTTCCTCCACGATCTTGGCATACAATTCGTTGGCACGCCCTTTTCGACTCATGGTAAGGTTCCAAACTAGACGTGCGATAGCAGCAAACACAGACAGCGGGCTCAGAGCCTCAGACGACAAGGCAGTCAACGGAAAGCGGCCAGAATTGGTCTCGCCGCTAGGCACGGGTAGAGTCCAGCGCAGAAAAGAGCTGGAATGGACGATTTCTTCTGATGAAATGTGAAGGCCGATGAGGAATGTGAGTCACCGACGAGACTAGGAAGTGGCAGACAAAGCGACAAGAATGTCAAGGAGCCAGCAGCGGATGAGCACAGTGCTCGCCCCGGAGGCTCGTTCCAAGGATCCAGCGCTGCATCTGGGCGCGGACGTCCTGCCGAGCGGACAAGTGTGATGCGATGAGTCACTCTGGGGAATATTTGGCACTGCAACGAAATTGGTCGACTTCCTGTGGCTGGGTTGGCTTGAGACGCGAGCGCCGCATGCAGTCCGCGGGGGAATCACAGAAGACGCAGGCCTTCAGATGAGAATAGGTGTGTGTGCGGAGAATGAGGACGTCGGGTGATGGGGCCGCGGCAGCGGTAGCTCTAGGACGCTCTGGACAAGTGAGTGGAAGCGGGTCCGGACTCACGACGCTCTGCAGCGAACCGTGAAAGAATAATGGAATTAATTTAGCGAGATTGTGCATGGCACATGGAGCTCTTTGGAAAGCATGCGTGCTTCGTTCAGCAGCGCCACAATTCAGCTGGCTTGCTCGGTAGCCTCTCTTCCTCTGCCATCGTCGGCACTGACTTCTGTCCTCGCTGGTCTCCGTCCCAGTTGCTTCTGCTTCCAAGAATCTCCCACGCCGTCGTTTCAAGAACGTCCGACCGAAAGTACTGGACGTTGTGGCAATGGGTTTGCCAGCGTCAGGACCAGCGTGCGGACCGGCTCCGGGTCGAGACCAGAGCCACCGTCAGTGCGCGACGAAGAAGCATCATCGGCCGGTATGATTTCACGCCTCGAACGAGGATCCCGTTAGTTGATGATGTTGAGTTAATTTTTCGAATTTGCGTTTAAATCAATTCAGGCAACGTCGTGTCCTCTCTGTGGTCCACAGAGGACTCGGATTTCAAATTAATCGCCTTGTTGTTTAATATTTTGTATACTTTTCTTGCTTACTTGTGTCTGAGACGTGGAGATAACGCAATTTGAATTTTTTTCGCATATCTATGCTACACGATGCGAAGCAAACATTTTCTGTAAACATAGGCAGCGTTTGTAAGGTCGGGGAAAATCTCAAGGTATTCGGGGATTGTGAGGTTCAATTCGACGATGGATGTGAGAATTTTTGCTCATGATTGAAGCCTGCGGGCGGCGTGGTTTCAAGATTGGCGCTATTACCCAAAGAAGGTCTGACTGTGAGAGGAAATGCAGGAGGCGAAGCACGTCACGCAGACCCGAGGGAAGCGGCGGCGTCAATGTGGACTTGGAGCTAGAGATTCTCGCGTTCATGCTCCAATCAACAAATTCGAACGCGTTTCCCAGCAAGGAAGAGCTTCTTTGTGCTGGTCGTCATGATTTAGTAGATGCGATAATTTCAGAAGGAGGCTGGTTAGCAGCTGGGTGGGAGAAGAAGGCAAATGTTTCTTCCCTAGGCAGTGGTGTTCCGGAAATTGCTCACCGTCCTCCATCTCGTCAACGAGCTCTCAGGAGCAAAACTAAAGCTGTTCGTTCTTCTCGTCAGCGAAGAGGCCGACCCAAACCCGTGGAAAGGAGAGCTCTGTCAAATGACGAATCGACGTGTGAAAATTCGGAGCCAAATGAATCCCAGCAGGATGCAACACAGGGGCGATCGGATGGGGAGAATATTGGTTCTGAACGGTGGGTTTTGCTTCAGATGGACTACTCATTTCTGATTCCATATTGAGAGTTTAGCTAATCTTTGAGCTTCACTTCTGAGAACTTCGAGATGTCACACTGCTTAGGTTTCGATCAGGCTCACGAAACTAGTCCTCTGCAACAATTGCCTCTCGGGTGAACCGACGTGCTTGAGAGCTGGAATAATATTTTCTCAGGTCGTGATATTGCAGTTCAATTTCTAATTTGTGTGACTGAGTCGCTTTGCTCTGCTTCTTTGTACGAAGTCAGCGACGGGAACAGTATCGATGACAGTGGAGCCGCTCCCTCGGAACCCGCTGAGAAAGATCGAAACTTCTCTTCAGATGGGAAGCCAGCGCTCCCATTTTCCGAAGTTAGAAAAGATCAGGGTAGCAGATTCCCAAGTCCTTCCGTGCAGTATCTTTGGGAGTTTGGAAGTCTTTCGCATTTCATTGAGGATCGAAAGGTCAGTGTTCATATCAGAGCTGAATAAGTTTATTCCCTGTTGTTCTACTTTTGCCACATTGTGTAATTTAGAGCTAAGTTACCCCAACCATAGCGTGCTTTGTACTGAGGGCTAATTTCCTGACTCTGTGCCTCTCTTTGAAGCTTGATACAACGAGTGGGATGATGCAAAGACAACAACGGGGCCTTTCCGACCATTCGTCAGTCAGAAAATGTAGATCGGACTCGGGAGTGGCCAAGCGTGGCAGTAAGATCTGCGATAAAAAATATACCTCGGGTGATGCCAAGTCAAAGGATGACAGCTTCGTTAAAAAGGCAGGGTTACGTAGAGCCAGGCAAGGTTCAAAATGCGAGCCGGGAAGGAATGTAAATAAAGGGTTGGATAGTGCATGTACAGTGAAGCAGGATTCGAGGGTCGATTTGCCAGTGAATACTAAAGCAGAGCTTGACAATGGACCCACTTTGGGGCAAGATTCGAAAGGGAGTGAAGGAACATTGGGTGCTGCAGCTCAAGGTGTGCAGGACCTCGAAAATAGACAGGTTCCTATCCCTCAACCAAAAGTGGACAAACCTGTTATTTCCGAGCAGGAAACTAGTATTAATAAAGCTTCGAGTTCGGAAGAACAGCCTTTAGAATCCCCAACGAACGAACCAAGCTCAAGAGGTATGTCCTGCTACGGTAATATCTGGGAAGTTCAATGCTATCTACCATGTATGTGACTTTTCATCTCATGCTAGAACTCGCCTTTACTCTGCACCTCCTGTACCTTTGATAACGTTTTTGGGCTAGATTGTAGATTTCATTTCTTTCGAATTCTGAACTAATTCGTTTAACAATGTTTGCAGAGCTTATTATCGATGCGGAGGCCAAGATTAAAGAGGAGAAGAAGCAGAAAAAGAAGAAGCGTAGAAAAATGAAGACAGAGAAACCTGTGGAGGTCGTCAATGAACCCGTAGAATCGAATGGGACCTTGGACTGGATAAATCAGATGGTAGATCAAAGGGAAAAATGGATGCTTGAAGCGAAGCCAAGCATCGAAGAAGGAACCTCAGACAAGCCCAAGTCAGTTCAGGACAGAATACGCAGCCTTGAAGATAAGCTCTCTGCCACTCGCACGGCTTTGCAATCTGGAAGAGAGGCACTGGGACGGAAAGGAGACGAACAAGAGCAGCCAAATATACCATCTGATGTAAGTTTTCAAGTTTTCCGAATTGGATGCCATGACGATATAAGCTTTGCATGATTTTTTCGCGCTTCAACTTTTTGGAGAGGTCGTCTACTTATGTCTTATCTAAATGTTGATGAAGACATAAGTAGACATCATATAAGCATGGCTCTTCCCAAGTCTTGCAGCATGAATGAAGCTATTACAGTGACACCAAAGCCTTTGAGCCTGCTGTTCTCGTTTTTAAATGTCCAATTGACGCCCTACCACTCTTTGATTCTTACAAGAGTAGAGGTATCTTCCAGGTTCCAACAAGCTAATACTATGTCAGTCCTACTGCAGAGTCTTCTTATGCTCTGGTCGACTGATATGTCTCCCCTTCATTTCCTAGCAGTCGCATTTGCAGAGGTTGTCTAAATTACGAGACGCTTCGGATCAGTTAGAGTACACTGAGAACAAGATCCTCCGGACTTACTCTGAGCTTACCACGACCCGTGCCCAAGTTGCAGCTTTAGAGGGCAAGCATGGATTGGAGATAAGGTATGTGTCTATAAGAAGAGTGTACACGCTATGCTTCTGTTCCAGTTAGTGTGTGACTGAATGCACTTGCTGCCGCCTCTAATTTCACAGCACATTCTGGATTACAAGAAAATGCTCTAATGTTCTGAATGTTTCTCGTTTACCAGGGATGTTCTCAAGGTCTCGGAAGATAAGGTGAAGAAGATAGAGAAGGCAACAACGGGCTTACAGTCCCTGCTGCCAGCTCGTATCGTGTGGCCCAATCCTGCCAAAGAGGTCTTTCTGATTGGATCTTTTGATGGTTGGAACCAAAAGGTCAGAATTATTATTCAGAATTGCTTGTCATTGCCGGTGTTGCAGTCATTGTACCCAAGCCGTAAGTTCGTCAAATTTAGATGACTCCTCTAATCTGCCATAGCTATGTCGGCGTCATACGCGATGTGGCCTGTTCACACGAGAGCGTTGTATTTAGTCTTAGTATTTATTTAGTTCTTAGCCTTATATTTTGGAGGTAAGATGGCGCTAAATCTTAACAGGAGTGCTGTGACAATGCTATGTTCACACAACCATCCAGAAACCGGGTTTACTGGCATAGTTGGGTACATTGTCGGTTTCAACATCTGCCATGTGGAAGGACTACAAAGGACGAGATTTCTGCCAGCGATTGAGAACTTTAGTCTGAAGCACAACAATCCACATTGACACACGTCCAGAACATTTCCAATCAAACGACTCTCATCCAGCTATGCTCAAGTCGCCCTATTTTGAAACGCATGGAGAAACCGAGGGCTTAGCAGAAACTAACTTTCTTGCCAAATTTGAGGAAAATAGAAGAGGGATATCACAGTCCTATCCACCATAGAAAGCATTGTTTCACGTACTTGAAGGTTGAGGAGTTCATCTCAGTTTTCGAATGACCCGCTAGGTTAATTTGTGACAAGTATTAAGCCTAATCCTTAGTATGTTACCCTACAGAGCAGGATGAATAAGTTCAGCTCGTCAACTTATGCTTCTCCGTGGAGAGAATAGGATGATCGTGGTTTTTGTAATCCAGTGACGCTAATTAGAGTTGCCTGCCTGGTGGTGTGCTTGCAGATCAAGATGGAATTGTCTGGTGCTGGAGTATTTTTAGCAACCGTGCCCCTTCATCCAGGGCGCTATGAGGTGCGGTTATTTCTGTAGTGGTATCGGTTTTAGAGATGGAACCCTTTTTATTCTTGTGCTTCAAAATACGATAAAGTTATCCGTAGGCAAATGTTTTTTAACTGCCTTTCTTACTGTATGCTTTCCAGATAAAGTTCATTGTGGATGGAACGTGGAGGGTGGATACTGCACGTCCTATTGTCTACGGTGGAGGATACGAAAATAACGTACTGACCATACCTGAAACGTTCCCCTGGAGACACTGATGTATTTTAGTAGGTCCAAGTGAGTTAGTGGGGGCATGCATCTCGTAGAATGAACATGGCGTTTTGAAATTGAAGGTTGAGTGAAATACTGAGCAAATTGAGATTAAGCTCAGCTTCTCTCTCCGAAGTTCGTCTCGAAGAGATCAAGATGCATCATTTCGGATATTGAATCCATTCAGTAGTTAATCAGAAGTAGAATTCTGTACAGGAGTTACAAAACATTTCAAGTTACATATTTCTGATGCCACTCCGGAGGTGATGGCGGCATCTGAAGTTAGAATTGTTGCGTCGTAGAGTAGACCAATGCAGGAACATACTTCGTACATCCACACCATGTGGAAAACTGTGCTGAGGAGCTAATTGACCTTTTACTCCATGATTCTTCTATTGTCAGAACACTGATGTCCTGTAATCCTTGTGCACAGCTTTTGCAAAGTTTGTTCATTGACAGGAAGACATGAATATAACAGCTCAAGTCGATCCCTCTGTAAAAGTATCCAACTTCATCATAAGAGCAGGAGTTGAAACTCACGGATTTTCAAACATCAGATTCACCTACAGATCCTTCAAGATGTTTGAAGTATTTCTTACAATTGTTCTCGTTTCACTCCATTTGGCCCAGATATTGAGGAGGATGAAGAATTACATATTTTAAACTCCGAAATGAGGGTATTTCTTCTAAGGAAGGCTGTTCTCAATTACTAAATAATGCAAGATATGGTTTCCATGCATCCACTAGAAAAGGCCGAGGTACTGTCGTGACCGCTCATCACAAAATGAACTATCGTTATATTACGATTGAGACAATTGTTCCTAATTGGCGTCCTCATGAAATATTTCATCATATGTTCTGTTACTAGTCTTCCTGTTACCAGTCCCGAAATTCGAGAGAAGAGCTATTGCTGGAACTTGAACCTGCTAAGACCAGGGAATGACGACACAACGGGTGTGAGTTCGGATTTGGTAAATAAGATTTCGCTATCTTTTTAATAGTTGGGGCGTGATGGCATAATGAAGCTGGGAATATACTTCTTTGCATAGAGATCTTCAAAAGGCATCGGAAAGCAACATGCGAGACGGTTTACTTCGGTACACAAATGATTGCGGAAATTGACAAAGCTGTGTTTGGTGAAGTTTGGTTTGCCGCGGCGCTGATGCTCGCTGTCATAATCGGAGGACTGCAATATGCTTCAAGGCAAATGCGTAGGTGGACTGATATGTTTGGAATCAGGGCAGGGCATTAGATGAGGTCGTAAAGCTCGTAACGCACTTTCTTGATCTGCGAAAGAAGGTTCCTTTCGCGACACAATGTAACGTTACGCGTACAAGGCCAACAGCGAACATAACTAGAGGAGGGCATGAGACAGCCCCGACTTTTCACCCGAAGCACTTCATAATGACTCGTCTTCCCAGCCCATCCATTGGACCGTCCCAGAGGACTTGCCCACCTTCTGTGTCTTCAATCGCACTAGTGGCATGAACGTGCAGCAGACACTTGCTTCGCAACTGTAACGCTTTGCAAGTTGGTCGGTTTGACATCCCTCACGACGACAGTGGGGAGTTACCAGGGTTCGTATGTTCGGATAAATTGATGAAGTTAGATGAGTTGAGATGGATAGCAGTGCAGTGAATCTGGATCCTGATGGCGGACATGAATTTCGCGTGATCCCGAACACCCATGCTGTTGAAGTCAACAGTCGGACAATGTTGAAGTCCAAATAATAAATTAGCTCGAACGTACGACGAGCAGAATGTCTTCATGTGGATGGTTTTAAACTTGATGAGAAATTCTGCCCGATTTCACACCAATACGGCTATGCATATGAATGGTCTGGGCTTGCTGGTACTTCACAGAGTGAGTCTACCAGCACAAACGCTGTCATGAAAGGAAGCTGTCAGTACCGTCCGAACTCGAGAAAAGTGGTGTTTATATTACAAGTCAATCTTTCAAAGACTTCTGATTGAATTCGAATTCCGAGAACAATCTGGACAGCCAGCCTTGCCCAGCCTTGGAACCTTTTCTACTTTTGAGTAAAGCTTCCAGGGCCTTGTAAGATGGCCTTTGAGGTTCAACCGCTACACACTCGCTGCCCCCGGCAGCATCCATCACGAAGACCTGCCAGTCTCCGGGATATCGCTTAAGCAGACGCAAATCCTCTCCCAGCATTCGCATTTGCTTCAAAAAATAGACTACCTCAAAGCTGTTCACGAATTCCTCTCTAGATCGCTTCTGTGCACCGAACCCGAAATCCGAGATCACCTGTCCGCTTTGCCACTGGACATTGACGAGCAGCAGAGGCCTGTCCTCCTTGGCTGCTGCCAAAGCTTGGACGCTGTCGAGCGACTCGGCTGTGGGGAACAGCACCAAGGCAGCGTCGTCATTTTCCCACGCTCCAACGGCGTCACTATCATCGATGATGTAGCTTCGATATCCCCCCTCGGCCTTGTAATTATCAGAGTCGACAAGGCCCGAGAGCAGCGACGTGACGACCGGCCCGGCAGCTTTGAATTGCTGCTGGATACCTCCAGGCCAATCGTCCAGGTCCGTTGCCCCGATTAGCGGCAGCAACACCTCCAGCTGCATCCTCTTGATTCCATCTTTGATGGCTTGTCGACTCGCTGTCCGTGCTTGGTCGATGCTCTCTTCTAGAGTGGACGGAAGGAAGAACTCCCTCTTCTTCTCGACCGCAGCTCCTGCGGGCTCGTCGCCCTTCTGCTGCGGCAGGACGGACCTCTCGTCCGCAGCAGCCCTCACCAGGTGCCTAGAAACCCTCGAATTCGAGTAGCATCGAGAGAAGCGGCGAGGGGCGGAAGGAGAAGAAGACGAAAGAAGATGAGGAAGCTGTAGCGCACCTGGAGCAGAAGCAGTGGGAGTGGTAAATTCAAGAGCGGCAAGTGGAGCTCGGCATCTGGGAGATGATAAATGTGCAGCTGCAGTGGACGAGATGGAGGTTGGTGATGGGATCGTCGAGCGGATGCTCCGCAGCAGCTGATGCTGCTGCCGATGGTGCAGCGCAGACGCACTCGAAAGCAGCGCCATTTCTTGTCTCTTTGTTCACTGCAACATAAGAATGAAATGCACGATTACGCCATAGCCCCTCGCCCGTACCCTCCCTCGATGGGCGAGAAAGTCTTGGCCGAACAATTGGGACAAGTGGCTCAGAATCTCCTCCCCCCCTCACATGGGCTGCTCTGCTCTGCTCCTCTACCCCGTCCTCCTCTCTCCCCTCCCTGCCCTCGCTCACTGGCTCACTCCCTCCCTCCGCTTTGCCCTTCTCGTCCTTCTGCTCGGAGAGATCGTCGGCCATGGAGCGACGGGAAAGCAGTGGAGAGCGAAGGAGCTGCGAGGCGAAGGTTTGCCTGCGAATATTTTATCCTTAATCTCCATCGCCCGCTCGCTTGCGGCCTATTTTCCAGCGACACCTCCCCGCCCATAAAGGCGCTGCGAGAAACAATCATGGACTATTTAAGGAGCAAACGACTGCGAGGCGACACTTTGCCTGCGAATATTTTACTCTGAACCTCCATCGCCCGCTCTCCTCCGGCCTATTTTCCAGCGCCACCTTCCCCTCCATAAAGACACTGCGAGGAAGAATCATGGACCAGCGGAGCCGAAAGAGCTGCGAGGCGACGCTTTGCCGCTGAGAATTGCATTCTTAATCTCCGTCGCCAGTTTCCCGGCGACACCTCCCCGCCCATAAAGACGCCGCGGGGAAGAATCCTCGACGACCGAAGGTGAAAGTAAATGACCGGTGCCGCTCGCCGTGCTCGGGATGCTTTCGCACTGCTCACTTCGGAGCCTTCGCTTTGTCTCCGTTCCTGTTCGGATCTTGATATTTGCGAAAAGGGTGCCGCCTTTTACCCAACCAAAGTAAACCGTTGTTCTGGTTGGATGGATGGTGGGAAGACAGGACGGAAAGACGGAAAGACGGACGGACGGAGGTCATGGGAGACACGAATGGCGAAAAGGAACTCGCGCGAAGTCAACGGCCGCAGTGGGTTTCATCTTTAATTGAGGAGGGAGTCTTCCACTTACAGTTTGGCGTGTACGATCCAGAGCCTGGTTCCCGGAGCTGTCTTGTCTTGTCTTGGCTGCGATGCCATCCATCTTCATTCTCAGACGACGGAACGATACTTCCGCGGATGGATGGAGAGATGGATGGATGGATGTCTGACCGTGGGACGAAGTCGCAGGGCGCGCTGGAGTCGGCGCGGGTGCCGTTCTCGAAGGAAGGTTTTGAAATCGCCGCGGAGCTCTTCCAGTTCGTGCTCTAGATTTGCTCGTGCGCGCACAACGTCGGGCCTTGCCTTGCGAGGGAAATCACCTCCGGCGCCTCTTCGCTTTGCACAAGGTTTTAGATCTTGCGCCTGTGGTTCAGCGCATCGTCGTAGGTTGTTCATGGAGGGTAAGCCTTGTTCGTAATTTCGTTTCGGTTTCGCTTGACCCGACCCAGCAATTGTCCTGTTGGAGATTCGCCCCCCCAAAAGGTTCCTTGTCATAATCGACCACCAGCGCGGGCCAGGACAGGGAGTTTAGATGCATGCAGCGAAGGGGAGGTCAAGGACGGACCAGTGCAGAAGTGGGGATGCACTGAACCCACAACTTGCTCGTCCTCGGATCACATTCTCTGCTCCTCTCCTCTGCTCGACAAAGTCACGAAATGCATCCGACGATCGTAGTGTACATCAAGAAGTACAAACCCGCTCCACTGCTGCCGCTGCTGTTCCTCCTCCTCCTCTTCCTCCTCCTCCTCGATCCCAATTCTCCACTGTGCTCCACGCATGGGCAGGTCTCAGACTGTCAAGCAGAAGCAGCCCGAACGAGGAACATCTTTTTGGTTATTGCAGGTTATTCTTTACAGCACGCAACAGACCAAATCCATAGAAGGGCTGGACTCTTGGCCATCTCTTGCCCTGAAGGGCCTTCGTCAGTCGGATGGGCAACCGAGAGTGAGTGATTCTGTCGTCCGACGGAAATCATTCTATTCGAGAGGGTGGTGAGAAAAGGAAAGAGACTCGGAAACCTGCAACCGGTTTCCCCAATAAATGGACGCTGCCAAGGACGGAGGGACGGAGGAGAGACGGATGTGCAGGTCAGAGCCGGTCTGACTCGGATGTGGCAGAGAGTATCATCGCTGACGAGGGGTGAGGATCGTACTCTAGGAAGAGTGCGAGGGTGTAGAGTGTTCTCGCTACGACAACAGGGACTGCCTGGACCGACTGAAATTCGCCCGATTTGTGCATGGCCCAACAACATCAGATTAACAGCTCAGAAAACAGCCCTTTCTCCATAACCGCCAGGGCTTCACAGACGAAAATTCGCTGGCCGCCTGCCTGCTGCCGATTGTACGCACTGCTCTGCTCTGCGGCACCCAAATTCTACGCGAAAGCAGAAAACATAAAAATAATATCAATAATGACGGGCTTTGCGTGCCATAAATCCACCGTCTTGCCCATTTATTCTATGGCTGCCGATTGTCCTCTGCCCGCTTAACCCCACAATAATATTATCAATAATAATCTCTCTCTCTCTCTCTCTCTCTCTCTCTGTTTCTGTTCCGCTGCTCTCTCCCTCTCCTCCCACTGCTGACTGTGCACTGCGCGATGCTCTTACCAGACGCGACAATATATCCTGGCCGTGGAAATATTCACCCCTCGAGTAGAGTACATCACGTCAAGTGGGCCTCCCGGACTCGCCCGCTCTTTTCCCGAAAATCCCATCGAATGGAGACCTCCCACGAAGGACGGAAGAAGATTCTGCCGGGGTCCATCCAAGCTTTGTGTTCGCCGTCGGTCGAGTCCGGTCCGGTCCGGTCCTATCCGGTCAGCTTAGTTTAGGGTCCGGTCGCGCCTTCGCCCGCCGCGGCGTGAGCACAAGTCCCGTGTGCACGCTCCGATGGGAGCAGCGCAGCCCCGCCCCCACCTCTTCTTGCCAAATATATGCGCCTCGGGGGCCTACCCATTTCTTGATCCGTCATGGCGCTCGGATCTTTTCTTTCTCGCTCCCGTCTGCACACGGGCTTGCTACACATCGAGGCTCTCTTGCTCCAGGGATCCAGAGCTTCCCAGGGCTCAACAGACCGCTGCGGGCGTTCATCCTCGTCGTCACGAGGTCGAACCTCACGGGACGGAGGTGATGAGCGCGGTTACGTCAAGCGAAGGGAGTTTGCGAACATTTGGGGGGGGGCATGGAAGTGGCAGGCCAAAGAAAGGGGGAAACATGAGAGTATCTCGCTAATCGGTCCTCATGCGTGATCTCAACCATGTGCTTCACAATCCAATGATCGACGGGACATCAGGGTGCTCCTTTCTTGTCTCCCCACTTTTGTTCGCCTACCAGCACTGTTCTTCTGCTCTCGCCTTGAGAACTATTCCTGTTGCGCTTCGAGTTCAGCGTTCCTAAATATGTGCCCACTCCCTCTCCCCTGTTCCCGGTTCAAGCCCGAAACTTTAAACTGTAGTGGTGTGTGACTCCTTAGCTACGATAGTTACTCTCAGGTGCATTACTATTCATATTGTAGAGTCCATTAACCCTCCCTTATTGAGATTTTGGATGCTTCCTTAGGCCTCGAGGAAGTCCTTGACATTGCAAACTTACCACGCTGTTTGGCCTGCGGGAGGAGCCAGGAAACGTGGAGTTGAAATTATCATGAAACTTCTCCAGCTGCATCTCGTTGATGAGTTTTTGATGAGCACAAACGTTCGAAGATGATGAGCGATCGGAAGCACTCTATTGGGCTGGAGTGCTACTGGTAGTGAGTCCAACAAGATGAAATGAAACGCATCCCATTGTGATGCACATGTTGGTGCATCGCTGATCGAACACTTGTAGCAGAATCGAAGAACATGTGCCTCGGAATAGAGTATATCACACTCGATATATTCAAATCTGTTTCGAATAAGTGCTAGAATAGTCTTCGACTAAATTAATTAACTTGGTCATTTGCCAACTCCAGTAGGTGGTTGTGTCGTCATTGTGTTCTAGTTGTACATGACTCTTTAGATACGACTAATAGTCCTGGAGCACAATAGAAACTCATCACATTGTTGGCGTTTTTTCTTGTTCCTGGTTCCTTGGCTTTAGACTCTATCTAATGGCTTTCCATCTCTTGCTGTGCATTCTTTTTCATTTCCCGGAACCGACATACATTTGTCCCAAGGTGATCCTTTTGTAGTTACGAGGGAAGTATGCGCACTGTTGGATGAACCTTCGCATCATGCATTTAATCGGACTTTCGACTCTCGTTTCAGAGTAATTTTGCGCGAACAAATTAACATTCTCCCAAACGCAAACTCTCTCGGAGTCCAATGGAGTGCAGCGTAACCAGAAGCCACCACTGCGGTCGGAATCCAACGAATGCAGTGACGCTCTTGTACTTGTGGTACATTTTCCTGGCAGGAAGAACCATCTGGCGAAGGTTCCCCATCTCGCAATTGGCCGGGTCCGATCATCATGGCCCCCGCTTTTTCGCGGCATCGCGACTCTGAGCATCTATTCGACAGTTCCCGGTGCCGATTGGTCGGGACCGGGCGATGCGGATTCCGTGGAGCGGCAAGCCGAAGGGAGTCGCGATGTGGCCGCTCGAGCCGGCGGACGTCGAAAGCGTAGAATGCCGGGAGGCGAGAGGGAGGGCGGATGCCAGAGGAGAGAGGGTTCGCTTCGGAGGACGGAGAATCTCGACCCGCGACGGAGATGGCTCACGGGGCGAGACCTCGCAGTGGGCCCGGGCGGAGCATTGAGCACCAACAACCGGGTCGCCAACGGTCCCGACATGGCCATGGGAACCCGGATGGGGACTGTCATAGGCGAGACGGGGAGACCCCACCAGGTCACGTGTCCAACTCGTCCCCGCCCCCGCGACGACGCGAATCTCTAGCGCCGGTGGCTGCCCCACCACCCGCGACGGCGCGAGACACAGGAGAAAAGTACAGGCACAGTGAAAGCGCTGCGGGTGCGACGCCAGTGTGACGTCCCTGCGGGGGCGGGCCGGGCCGGAGAGGGGCGCGGCCTAGCCTGATGCCGAGGAGCTCCCGATGCTGCGATGCTCGATTGGTTCCAGTTGTTGTCGAATGTGAGGGAGGGAGGAGCGTCGCTGTCGCTGTCGCTCGTGCTGTTCCTTCTTGTTGTTGGTATTATGTTGTATAGTCTACGCATGTCCGAGTCTGTCTTAAGTCGCTTGAGCCGACGAGGCCCAACAAGGGAGAGCAGACGAGATGAGACCGGAGGATTGGTAGAGTAGACTGGTAGGCAGGCCGAGAGAGAACGCAGAGGGAAGGACGGACGTAAGGAAGGAAGGAAGGAAGGAAGGAAGACGCGGTAGGGAGAGAAGGGAAGAGAGAGAGAGAGAGAGATGGAGGAGAGTAGGGAGAGGTGGAGGAGGGTGAGGTGAAGGGACGGGACCGGAGTGTGGTGTGGTGGGCTGGTGCATTGCATCTTCTTCTCCTGGCCGTCTGTCTGTCTGTCTGGGGAGGGGAGTTGCGCAATTGGGTAGCAATATTATATTGTTAAGTAACATTATTTTGCTTTCCCACTTGGCCATGTTGTTGAGGCGCTGTTCGAGGTGACAAAAATCTTTCTAGTCTCTTTCATTCGACTGAGAGAGAAGCAGACAGGCAGACAGTGCGAAAGAGAGAAAGAAGCAAGCAAGCGAGTGACGGAGGGAGGGAGGGTGAGAGAGAGAGAGAGAGAAGGACGAAGTCGAAGTGTAGTAGTAGGGGGAAGGAGGGTCTGGCTTGTTTGCTGGTTGCTGCCGCAGGCGCAATTGCCCGCACTGCAAGCTCTCGGACTGCTAGTAGAGAGGAAGTCGCTCGGAGCCCAAAGCGAGAGAGGGAGAGACGGGGAGAGAGAGAGAGAGAGAGAGAGAGATAGTGAGTGTGTTTGTGTGTGTCTAGTGCATTAGTAGGAAGAAGAGGAGGAAGAGGAGGAGGAGGAGAAGGGGATTGCGCTGAGCTGACCTGCCGGGCTTCGCTGGTTTGGTTGGTAAGGCGAGAAACAGGGCGTGTGCTTTACGGGCAGATTGAGCAGAGGAGGAGGAGGTTTGCGAGAAACATGTAAAGTGGAAGGATATTCAACAGTCAAGGATTTTGAAGAGTGAGTGCGGCCTGACGCAGGCGGACGGAGGGAGGAAAGTCAAACAGGCAGATCAGGATTCGGGAAAAAAATTTCCTGTTGCGGATCGGCGTGGCTTGTAACGGGGACGCTGGACATGGACGTTTTGTGGAGAGTCGGACATGGAGTTGTGTTCTAACACGCCGGAATTGTCAGGCGCTTGGAATGCAAGTCTATGGAATCGAGAGAGTCCAGTATTGGCCAGATCCACCAGTTTCGAAAGACTTTCACATCTCTGACCCTGAACTCTGAGCTGAGAAAAGAGTTTCTATACTATTGGGGCTTGGGAATGCCGGGCTAGGATAATTTGAGCCTACCTGTTTTAATCATCCGGACTTGTCCTTGATCAACAACTTAAGGGTCCGAGGCGATTACAAAGATCTTTCATGGTTAGTTATTATACATGTGTGTCGGTGCTGCTATTAGTATGTCTCACAATAATGCTTTTGGTTCTTCCCCTGATTCTGCCGCCCTTACCGCCACCGCCACCAATTCTCATGCTCTTACCCGTCGTTATCTTCATCCTGCTCATGTTGATCGCCTTCGTTCCTTCGTCAGTTAACACGGTTGTGGTCTCCTATATCTAGATCATGGTACGATCTCATAACCCCCAAGGTCTTTGTCCATTCTTACTCATGCTTTTGGTATTATACATGTCGTGTGATTTTGGAAGACTGGACTGTACTTGTTCATTACGAATTATGAGTCCGTCGACTGTGCCCTTTCACAAGCGGTATCAAATTTGTACGGTAGTCCTTAAGTTGGCTTTGCTAGTCTCTTTAGAGCGAAAGTCGTCGAAGTAGGAAATGGATGAACGCTGATGATGCTGAAGTGCTGAGCGACACTAGCCTCCCATATTTGTAGATGAATTATGCAGTGCCATTAGAAGAGCTCTAACGATCTTGTAACTCTGTGTAAAGAATGGTCCGCTCTATGTGCGTTTCTGAATTTCTTTATCAGAGGGAAGGTCAGACACAGATAGTTAAGGTGTGTATCTGATCGACCTCTTCGCTCGATCATAAAGCAGAAAACGCCCAATGCTTGCTGCTAGAATATGATACGTTTGAAAGCGGAATATAGTCATGGCGACATATCTTATTATGATACAAGATATTCTTCTCGTGTCTCCTACTCACTGAGGTGATCTTATTCTAACCAGTGCTTGGTAACATCTGTTCTGCAGCAACTCCCAGAGATGCAACGAGTAACGTCAGGGACATCTGTAGAATCAAATGTGGAAGGAGCTTAGACAAATGCCTATCTCATGATATCATTGTTTGACATATTCAACTCCGGAAGGTCAGTTTTCTGTAGATGCGTAAATTGATCCTTCAATGGCTTTGTGTGAAACTTCGGGTTCGTTCTTCCCTGTAGAGAACAGCATTTTTTTTCCTACCATAATTTAGGCAGGCTGCCTTTAGTCCTGAGGACAGGGGTTTTTCGATAATTATCAAACAACAGTCTACTGGACTGCTTCATGTCTTACTCTTTACAAATAAAGCCTCGGGAAGTAACACTCGACAGAGACTTGTGACTTTGTTGCATGTTTTCAAAGGTGTACCAGATTAATTGATTGTTTGCTTGTCTTCTCTCTTTGGTTGCCGCGCCTATCCACTTCTAATTACTCGAGTGTGGCCCTTCCTTTTTGGTCGGATCACGTTGATAAATCTTTCAGAAGCGTTCATCGTAGCATTATGATTATATGTCGGAAGAACACTTTCAAGTGCACATAGCAGAATTCGTCTGCAGCTCTTCAGCCTGATAGTAGATGTAAGACCTAGCTATGAATTGACGGAGGTAGCAAGTTTTGTTAAGCTTGAGAATCGGGGTCATTCGCTTGGAAAGCGAGTTGACAAAGTTAGGGCCTTAGGGTGTCTATTTCTTTGAAGTTTCGAGAGTATCTTCATTCTACGGAGCTGGTTGAGAAGCATGTTGTTTCTTGTTTCAAGGAGTTCACGGCAGACAACGAAACTGTCTGCCTGAAATTGGAAATTTTATCGTAAAATGTCTTCGCTTGGAGACTGTAGATTCACACTAAACATTACATAAATGCTGCCTAGTTGACAGTGCTGTTGCTTTATAACCTTTGGCACTTCGTGCTTGACGACTGCGTAGTTTTCAGCTAACTTAACTTCAGAATATCTCGCCGTCATACCACCCCTAGGCTGTGACATTTGTGTTTAGACTGACTTGTAAACGATTTAGTCTTTCGAGCCTCAGTAGATCATGTTGAGCTTGTAACGTTGTTTCTTCATCATGTTCCATCAACACTAGACAGTCTGAGGCTAGTTCGGATCATGACGCTTTCGAGTCTTAATGGCGTCATTCTGAGTAGACTTCGGATTTGCTTGTGTGTCAAACTTGATTTTTGTTGGAGAAGAAGATGCCACAGAACTATCTCTCACCCTGTTACGATCACTTTGTCTTCAGAGTGCTGATTATGAAGGCTGTGGTTGGATGTGCCTCGTGCAGAAATTCCAATATTGATGAGACGCATCAACAGTCCTGGAGATCTGGTTTTCAAGATTAGACAAGTCTTGGTGCTGGTGCTTGAGAAAGATCGATCAGCTGTTGCTCACAACTATCCTGTATCAACGATGAATTGCGTAGTCAGTACTCTTGATATGATTGTAGAAGAGCCGTGTAATTGAGAGCAAGACAGTAAAAGATCACGAAAAGACTTGGCTGCTATTGTTCACCAGGAACTCTTCTCGCTCCTCTTAAAAGGTCGCGATTATGATCCGCAAAGGAGTCGAGTATGTGCCTACTTTTACATGAAAAGATTACATTGATACGGAGTCTAAAGGGGTTTCCAAGCCACAACGACGATAGCCTTGGTTCTGGTTTTAGTGCTTAAATGGATGAAAGGGTAACCTAACAACATTTTCAACTCTATATATGCATGAAAATGATTGCTCATGTTTGCTCATGTCTGCTCACTTGACCGAGGAACAACTTTTTATTTGAAAGTTCTTGATGGGCCGATTAAGCAAGTCAACGTCCCTAACGAGGGGAGATAGCGATAAGCCTAGCGATAACTGGCGTAAGTAGAAGTGAAAAAGAGGCAGTGCTTGGTATCCTTAATGGTATAACTCCAAAAGCTGACGCCAATGACTTCTTGCATCTGAATCAGCGAACTTATGACAAGTAGATTTAGCTATCGCTTTAATTTAGAATAATCGAAGAATGAAGAGGCGTGTCAACCGATTAGTGCAATTGCCTGAAGATGACTGGATGTGATGTCAGTGGCTGATCCTAAACGAGATACGATGTGTCATGCATGTGGGAGACTACGTAAGTCACTTTCGAGACAGACGAGTGATTGGGATTGGCAACAATAATGAATTGATGAGAGCTGTGCGTTCTAGTGTTGCGGAAGAGAAAGTCCATGCCGGTGCCGAGGTCTGGATTCTTCATTCTGAGGGTCTGGAATCCGTCATTTCCTATGTGGATATATCTTGAGAACTGAGCTGTCCGCGCCTTTGCCTCAGGGAAATCCATGTGTCCTTGTCCATCACGTTTAGCATCTGTTTACTCGCTCGCTTTATAACATCGGTAAGAACTATGCAGATCAGATTCTGATATTGCAATAACCGACTTCCCAACTATTGCGCTCCTGGCAGTGGTCTGGACTGACCTGAGGTGAGGTCCCATTGCGGTAGGAATGAACAGGGAGGTCCAGGTTGGCACAAACGTTAACGTTGAGAAAGTTCAGATGTGGAGAGGTGTCGCCGAACACTGGAATCTGCGATGGACGAGAATAGCTTTTATTCGTTCGCTCCATCACGTCTTCGAGGTACACACGCTTGACTCTCAGATGCAGACTTCTATATCAAGCAGTTGCAGTTGTCCATGGGTCGAGATGAAAAAGTGCTCCGTATCTTTTCAGGTGAAATGACGGCTTTTGACTGAAGGTGTTTATCCGTTTCGGTGTTCACAGTATGTAGACATGCTTCCCTTCACGTGAAGTCTGCACCCTTTTTACACCTTCGACCCGCTGTTCTAAGTAGTTCCTGAGAGCTTGCGAACATCTTTCGCTTTTGGGTCCCAACTGTCTATGTTTCTGTCGGCCACGATCGAGATTCAAATTCCTTTCTTTCTTCTTTCTGCGAGTCGGCCAAGGAAAGTGTCACGTGAACTGGTTTTCTATGTGACATTCGTGAAGTATTCCAATGCAAGGTCGAGCGACGCTTGCTGCTTTAGCCATTACACCACCCACAACCCTTTCCACCAGACTTCTATGCTCGCTGTCGGTTGTAGACCTCGAATGAATGGCCCACCCGTTTGTAACAAATACTGCACCTACATGGGTTAGAATGTTAGCAGTCGTCTGACATGTCGCACGTCGTTTCAACGAATATTGAACTGTATATTTCACGCTTTTGCAATTATGCCGCAGAGAGACCTATGCTCGCCCTAGCTGGCGATTCGGGATTTGAATGATCCTCCAATCTAATCATCGAGCTCTAATCCGGGCAATCATCTGTCCTTGCACTGCAGTTGAGCGCTTGTGCACGCACACGCAACTAGAGAACCATCATCAGTCTTCCAAAGCTCGGAGGGCTTTAGGAAGGATCAGTTCCGTCTCATCAGAGGATGTCCCCTGAGTCCGCATGCCTCTAGATACTCGTTCACTGTCACGTATGATGGAAACTATGAACACAACATTCCTAATCTGTGGGGTTGAAAGCTTTGAGCCATTCTGCCTCCTGAACCACCTTGCTTTATCCTCGAACAGTGTTCACATTTAGAATCGAAGCCACTTAGAACTGCATCCGAACTGACTTTTCTGTGATTATTTTGACACAGTCTCAGGGCAAACCTTGAAGGGTTTAATCCAAAATATGACGAAGGAAGCTGTAGGGCAATCAATGACATAGGCTGCGGGGCGGAATTGTGTAGCGGAGGAAACTAGTGTTCCGAGATCGGAACAGAGATTGCCTCAGCCTGGCAAAGACCATCCCATCGATACTGGTTTGAGAAGACATCTCGGAATCAGAAACACTGGTCGCAAGCATGCATGCAGAGGGATCCTAAATAGCCCACTTGCTTCCCTGCTCAAAGAGTGCGGGGTCACTGCCCCATCACTCTCGCAACACATGCACAATGACAGCCACAAGTCTCAAACGGGGCAGGCAAGCTCCAACCCTGGCCCAAGGACTCCGCATAATTTCATCGAGAAAGTATGGATCTCGAGTGAGATCCGCTGAACATCGAGCGTAAAAGCCTTTTCAGGTCACTGACAGGTGGGATGCAAGCTAGCAATGCCGGTACAGGGTAAAGTTGAAAACAGTGGTTGTGATATGCTAGTTCCGGAAAGGTACCTGGAGTGTCCCGGCCCCATGCGAGGGACTAGAACCCGAACCGCGGGCGCTGTGACCGCTCAAATGTCCGTCCTGATATAGATGTCCGTGAGGTGTCCAAGCGCGGAAAGTGTGCCTCGGAGGACTGAGGGTTCCATTTGAGGACGAGCTCATTCGCCTGCCTTACAGCCCGTCTCCGCTGTCTGGAGTCCAGATAGAATCCTGCACCTGGATGTATGACACAAGGACAATCAGGATCTGGTTTCCCGTGCAGTCGTAGCCAATTGCATCGAGGTAAAGGTAGGTGGTAAGTCTTAAGCAGACCTCACTGCATGCCCTTTACATCTCAGTAGCTATTCATTTCACCCCTGGAAAATGACTTCCTGCTGAACATCCTGGTGCTAAAGGCTTAAAAGGCTGCTGTAGATCTAACTGTGATGGCAGTTTTGATCATCCCCACGTAGAGCAACTTGCCACTGCCGATGGTGCTACTTCAATCAGAGCGCATGCTCGAAGGAATCATGCCCTGCAAGTTCGGAATTGTTCATTATGGAGGGAAAGCGAAGGCAGAGATGAAAGAGCCTCTCGTCTTGTGCTCCGTGAAACTGCTGTGGTTTGTGTAGGAAGCTGGTTCGGTTCTCGTGCGGGAGAGGTTGTTGAACGCAAGTGCTCTGATTCGCGTCTTCTTCTCCAGAAGACTTTATTATCAACATGACCGTCGTCCCTTGGGCTTTGCATGATTTCATCAGGATAGCATGTGTGAAGAGCCTTTCTGTTACTTGCTCGTGTCATGCGGGAAAAGTTTTTCTGTTCTCCGAACTAGGTTTCGCATCATGCTCTTTGAAAGTCGTTGAATGTCCACTTATCTACGTCTCTGTCACCAACAAACCAGCTCAACTTTTGAGACGACCTCCCGATTTTAAGTCTGACCGACAACTCTGAATTCAAATCCGTTCTAGCGTCTCCTGCCTGTTCGAAGAAATTTCCATCTGTTTGATCCACATATTTGTTTCAACTGAAAGAGGGCACGAAAAGTTTATATCGACTCTTTTAATAGTCATGAGTGGTAACCCCACCACCGGTTTTCAACTGAAACGGTTGCTGTCAGACACTCGTGTCAGGACATATTTCGGTTTCTGCCCTCTCCTCATTCTGTACTGTTAAACAGCTACAATACCCAATATGTGTTCAGAGAGGAGTGCTAGTCTGGCTCGGGTGCTGAGCACAAACGATGCCAAACCGCTTCATCTTTTCTTCAAGTTCTTATATCCTTGAAAACTCCCAATTTCAAATTCGTAATCTAACCGTCAGTGACACGTGTTACTCACCTAGACCTTAACCCAAACTCTGCTTCTGCGAAGATAAGTAATCAAATTGTCAATGAGTCCTTCGCGAATAAATCGACACGTTTGACAAACAGTAGACACTACCACTGCGAAGTGTACCCATTTCATCAAAAGCGTTCATTAAGACTCTCAACTGCGTGGTACGTTTTGAGCTGTTAACAAAAAGTTAAATCATTCACGCACTTTGAAACGAATAAAACGAATTTCAGTGGTTGAGTTGCAGTCCTCAAAGTAAAAGCATAATGTAAAGCACCAATTTTCGGTTTTAAGATGGAAGGCATGTGACGAAACCCTACGTTCATTGTCGAAATGGACCATGAAAAAAGCCCTCAAATGAAGCTGGGTTAGGGGTGCGTCCTTTACTCTCTACTGAGCACTGTAATTAGCGCCACTCTGATTCTTCGACATGGAGCAGACCAGGTACTTGACTTCGAACTATCCATTATTATAAAATCCGTGGTCCACTGCATTGATTTTCTTCGCACGTGGTTAAACCCGTGGGTCCTTTCTAACAGTATACATACTTGCAGCTATCGTACGTACTGCCTTCAGTGAAATGTGATATTCAGCCCCTTCATGTTAGTAGGACTGTTCAACCGGGGTCCATGGTCTTAAGGCTATGACAGGCACGCACTGAGGAGAACCGGATGGACTAAGGAAGAATGAATTGCCAACCTCAGACGTCGGCAATATGACAAGGTCACCGTTTCCTATAACCAATAGTTGTCAGGTATCGGTTGGCTCACAGCAAGCTGCAATTGCTGCGTGAAAGACAAGCAGACAATCCTACACGTCCCAGACACCAAAGTAGCATAATGAGGTTTAAGTTCAACCAGACACGTTGATCTATCACAACGCATTTTTATCTCATAATGGAGTATCCTGCTACATGCTGTACATACCAAACACACTTTCTCCGGGATGTCAATTCCAATGTCGTAACACCCTTGGGAGGACCCCTAGAAAGCTTAAAACTTGCTATCATGATATTCGGCCTAAATCTTGCAACAAAATTGGGATCCACCAGATAAAGACATTCAGCTGTGAAGAGCTTTTGCGTGGTGCATAACGTGATCTTCAATGAAGGTGCTTATGAAATAATAAGAGTGATCATATCCACTTTGAATACGCAAATTGACTGGCACTCCCGCTGCCTCCGCTGCTTTCTTAAAGTTCTCAGGTTGCAACTGTTCCTTAAGGAAACCATCAGCTTCACCCTGGCATTCTCACTAGGTCAGCACCTGCAGAAATATCTGGTGACTGGAAACTGTTTTTCTCCTAAAATTTTCCAAAAGTAAGGTGATATAATGGTGCTTAAGATAAATCTGTTGGGCTTACTGCCCAAAACATACTGCACAAAAGAAAACCACAGTGAATATTAAGCATCCAAACCTAGACACAAGAATTGAAAGGGCAGTATATTTTGTAAGTCCTTGAGTAACTAACCTGATCAATAAGGATCTCTACACTTTTCGGCCCTTGATAGTTCTTCACTAGACAGGTAGCATCATAAGCCTGGGAAAGGCAGTTATGAACATTTCGTTAGTAGCAATCAGAGCTACATCTGACAGGTAATCGTGAAAAAAAGTCTTTGGTCTGTTATTGAATCACTTACACGTTGTTCTCAAGCTCAAAACTTATCCGTAGTTGAAAATCTTAAATCCCAACGGGAGTCCGTACTTAACAAATAATTTCCCAAGTTTCAATCCTCAAATAAACACCCGATAGAGGGAAAAAAATTCACCATTAACGATATTTCGAATGAGCACCAGGATTTAGCTTACGAGTCTATAGCCACAAAGATAGCAGTATTATATATGCAAGCATGGTAGATACCTTATATACTCAAATTCCTAGGGGAGAGACAGTGGAATAGAAGTTACTTACCTCCCATGCGGATTTGTCGTCTCCCAAGTAATTACTGAAAGCCTTCTTACCCCAAGGGACTGCAGATGGATTGGAGATCGGCGCAAATGCTGATGCAGACTTAAGAAACAAAAAGAACTGGATCAGATTTGCAGCTAATTTTGAGTCAAAATGTACAACTTAGCTGAACATTTGATCAAAAAGTGAAAACTCTCACATATCATCATGTTGAAAAGTTTCTTGCCCAAGACAAGACCCAATACCCAAATGAAGCTTCCCATTTGTTCCAAACGCAGAAGGGAAGAAAAACTGTAAACCAAGATAAACGAGTTTTCTTGATGGACAGATGTCTAACAGGACTGGATAAACTTCAGTACCTTGTATGCACCCGGATTTTTTAGGTACAATGTTAGGGCCCCGTGTCCACCCATGGAATGCCCGAAAATAGAGGCCCGCGAGGTGTCCAACTCGGAAAAGTTTGCCTTCAACAATTCCGGCAGTTCCTTTGTGACGTAGTCATACATTTGCCAGTTTTTCCATTTTCCTTGTGTTGCATTTAAATAAAATCCCGCACCTGGAAGACCCGGGGCACAATCCGATCAATGGTTTCTTCAGAACTGGGAAAATACCAGGCCTCCTGATTGGTACTCCTCATTGTGGCTTCAGTAAAGTGTTGCAACCACAATGCACTGCATCTAGTATTCACATCCTCAGCTTTTGTAGCAGTCGCAAGTAGTGAATGTCGTCTTTTGTCAACTTTTGTCAACTTTTGTAGACATTCATGGTTTTTATCAAACAAAATTCATACAAAGAGATGTTGATTGAATTTGATAAAAGCTATCTCATATATAGCCTACTGAAGGACAAAGAGGGCCAGATTTTGATCTCACCTACACCGAAGTCCCAACTGTCAGATTCTCCCTCCACGTTCAAGCCTCCTGCAAAACGAACAAATAAATTCGAGTTCAATTTAGTAAAGAGTATTATTACCGTCACTAACTGGAAACCATCCAACATGATGAGAAAAGAGGATAAACATGAGATACTATATGATGCTAGATACCGCGTCAGGGTGTCCCAATATTAGCTGAAAAAACATTTACCCAATCCCAGTCGAAGGCAAGGACAACTGAAAACAAAAATCTCAAAATGAGGTGTCACATTTCCTACAAAAACTGCAATGACACCACCAATCATATCCAGTTTTTGAAAAATCCGCCTCCTGGTACCTGTTTGCTACAGCTCCATAAAAAGCTATTTAATATTATTTTGGATACAATACATGTCAAAAATTAATTATTCAATTTATTTATCTTGAAATTTTCTCTATGATGGTTCCAAACTACAAGAAGATACATGGAAAGAAACATAGTTGAAAGGTTTAATTAGAGTAATTTTCACTCCTATCCAGTCAGTCTAGAAGTCGGTGAAAACCTATAGCCTGTCACTAGAAAATGCTGCAGACTTGTATGAAAGCAGCTGGCTACACTTGTAAGAGCTGCAAACACAATTGTCTTATCCTCAGCAGAATTGATCGCACCAAAAATACGGACAAGGAAGATATGAAGAGATGGAGAGCACAGAGCAAGGTAGCAACAAGAAAAAGCCCAGAAAAGTTTCATAAACTTAAAAGAATCCTCAATAAACTTACTGGGCGAAGTATCCATGCCAATAATTGCGATGCCCTGATCCGCTGCAGGTCGCTGGACCCCTGACTTGATGAAAACATTTTCATCCGTGCAAGTGAGACCAGACAACCAGTATATAATCTGCCGACCATAAGCCCAGAAAAAAAATAAGTATAACACTAGCATCTTGTTCTTGCCCATCCATGACCGAAGCAACTCAAACCTCCGAAAGGATCTAAACTCAATGTTGCCGCTCGAGCTTCAGCAATGTAGACCAAAAATTCGAATTATATGAGAAGCTCGGAGGACGGACCAAAGCACATTCAGCACATTCACTTCGACATCAACTTACGGGAACTTTTTTCTCGCTGGCTGCCGGTGGGAAGAAAATGGTAAAGGTCGTCTCGCAGCCGAGAGCACGACTCTGAAACTTGTACCGTTTGTTGTAGCCACCGAACATTTTGGTCGAGGCGATCTGCTGAGGACCCTCCATCTTCGCTCTCTAATTCTTCCCCTCCCAGCAATCCGCGCGACGCTTGCTCTTGGACGTCGACGATCCGAGAACAGATGGGAACACTTTCTTTCGGGCGCCACGAGAACGCAGAGAACTAATCTACCGTCGCAATGTCGATGCAGCGGCCGTGCTGACGCTGAGGCAGCACCAGGTTCTTTAGCGTCTGGGGACAGAGCAGAGTGGTGCAGTGCAATAGTGGACCGACAAGTGGCATGACCTTCGCCGAGCAGTCGGTAAAGTGGAGATGGTACAACATCATCGGGTTTTTTTCTATCGCAACACAAAGTTCGTGACCGCGGCGGACATACTACGAGAAGGTTCCGGTGCTCTTTACCACGTAAAACCAGTGGTATATGCTGGTTTTACGTATGTACCACTGCTGACATGCTGGTCGCACGTACCCCACTTCCTTTCGATTATGTGAAGAAACTCAACAGAATTGCAAATTGATGGGAATATATTAATAACTTTCATCTCGATTTACTCGAGGATTGGAAACACGTTATCCACAACATTTCAGCGCTGATTCTGAGAATTGATGCCATTGATACAATTCCGGGTAACACCATATAATTGTTGTCTACATTACATCATTTGTATGAAAATTATATATGCAATTTTTTATATGCATTCAAATTGCAATATGCAAAGTTTCGATCAAGCATCATGTCAATTTAAAAACTAAGAATTATTTTAGATATTAATATGAATTATAAAAATCAATCGATGTATTTCCAAATGGTGACTAATTTCAATTGATGATTATATAGTATAAAATCAATTGAAGATAAATTGGAATCGTACATACTGTATAGATTTTATTGAACCAAATATAAAATTATATTATATTGATAAAATTATACACTATTCCATCATTTATATGAATGAATAAATTTTGCATTGCTCATGATGAAGAAGTGGAGTTTTATCTTCTAATGATTTATATTATCTTTAAGATGATTATACAGTTTTTTCATTTAAAATTTCCAAAAAAAATTAAAATTTTCCAAAATTCAAGTTCCTTGTAATATTATTCTATAATTTCAAGCAAACTTTTTCTTGAATTTTATTATTTTTAAATACATTTGTAATGTTAAATATGTGTTCAATGAAAAAAAAATGTGGAATAGAGTCTCATTTGATACTTATAATTTCATTATTCACATGATATATATATATATATATATACACAGCTCTCTCTCTCCCTTCCGGAAGTAGAAATCTAACTTAAAGAAATTTTTTAAATTTACTATAAGTTTTTAAAATTTTGAAGTTTTACATTTATAAATTTTTTCTAATAAGAAAAAAAATGTAATGAACCTGTTTGTCAAGTCAAATTCATGATCATGAATACAACAAATGCATTATTAACATCGATTTTTCAATAATTTCTATATTATCTGAACAAATTTCAAATTATAAATCAAATTTTTTCCAGATTATGTAACATTGTTTTTATATAAAATGTAATAAAACTAGACAATGATGATTATGAATTTTAACTATAACTTTAATGCTCGCTTAATCAATGTGAATATGCATTGCAATCTTAATTAATTGATTTTGACTATCATTTCGTTTAAAAATTTTATCTACTTTAAAATTTTGTTTTTGATAACCAAAGTATTACAATTAAAAAAATTCATAAATAAATAAAGTATGTTATATGAACTGCATATGTTTCAACTAAACAGCAATTCATAACCAATTATAAATTATCAACCAACATTATAACTAACATCAATTATAAAGTTATTGATATATACATTTGCAACTAATATTTTAGTATAATATTTATATTAATTTGAAACATTTTTATTTACATATATTCCAAATTTGCGTAATGAAATATGTACAAATGCAACATGTTGTAATTTTTACAAATAAAAAAATCATAACGTTATATTCGTCTCAAATGTAGAACATGTTGTTATTTATTATCAACCACTGTCTTATGTTTATTATTTTTTCAGGTGTATACATTTGAAGAAGATTATCAAAGATTGTTGTTCATACTTGTATCCATCACTTTTTAAAAAAATCATAATTTATAATTATATATTTTTCCATTTGAAAAAAATTTGATAAAAAAAGTATTACTATTAACTTAACAAATCTTCTCAACACTTTGTGTTTTAACTAATTTCATTAAAAGCTAAAGCTTGTATGTTTGGTTGATGCTTGAAGCAATTTCTAAAGTGCACGTTACAAATTTTACACCACACAACACATCATTATGTATATGTTTGTAAAATGAACATTTTTTTATGCAAATTTTTTCACTTATTTGTTCAATTTTTGATTATCAAATTGTCTTGATGTTTAAGCTTCAATTAAAATTTAAAGCATTTCATATCTGCATCAAGTCGTTGATTGTATATTTTATTGGATGATGTTGAAAGATATATATTTCAAATGAAATATAAACATCAAGACAATTGGATATCTAGATTTAAACAAAAAAAATTCAAAATATAACATATGGAAAGAGATGTTAATTAGAGTATCATCTCAATATACAAGATTAGTTTTAATGCAGTGATGTCAACATCATTATATAAAACATATAATCAACAACTTGATCAACAAACATATTTTTGTGTGAAAAGTATATTTTTTGACACATATATGAAATAACATTACAGATGATTACATGTATCCATAGTCAAAAATTGGATTGTGTTTTTTATTTACCAATAGATTTATCTCTTTATTATAAAATTCAACATATAAATTAAAAGTTTAATTTGATTCAAAATTGAAATTTTGAATTGAAAAATAATCAAAATCAACCAATAACAATTATATTTTTGCTAATAAGCAAAATTGTTCAATTTCATTGCGAGTGCAATGAAAGTTGACAATCAAAGTACAAGATAAATGATTGATCGCATAAAATTAAATATTGAATAATATTATTATAAATCAATTAATATTTTGTTATTTAAAAATTCAACATGTGCTAGGAAAATTTTGCTAAAATAACATATGAGACTTGGATATGAAAAATAAACAAAATCAACAAGTATGAATTATATTGTCACTTCCCACGAGAAAATTGTTGAGAGTTGATAAGCAAAGTACACAATGAACTTAAAAAGTCACAACTTGATGTTGATGATCTAGATTGACAAACAATTTCAACAGAATTGTAAAAATACATATTTATTCATCTCAGTTTATTTTAAATTAAAAAATCACAAGTTTTATTTTTAAAACCAATTTTATATGTCTTGAAGAAATTTTGAGAGCTCTCAATTTTTACAATAGCTTAAATATTCAAACCAATTTTTTTTCAATAAAAACAGTAATTTTTTTAAAAAAGTTGTGTCTTCTAAGATATATATTTCACAACATTCAAGTTCTTATTAAATAAGAAAATAATTTGAATATAGTAATAATCTTCACATTTATCAGTTATAAATTCAAAGATTAAAATGTTTTATATATGTATAAATTTCATCATGACATTAACCAATCCAATCTATTATTCATAAATCGTACGAATTTAAGCTTAAATAGTATTATATGACATAAATACACTATTTTCACGAGTTAAGATTATTTGTTACCAAATTAATCCAAAGATATTTGATTACTCACTAATACAAGAAGTGAATGTTTAATGTTATAAGATTTAAATTAAATTATAAAAGTTTTAAATCCACTTGATATAACAACCATCAATCAAGTAAGTTAAAAATACATATTCATAAACTAGTTCATGATTGAATTAATGAATCGTTCAATATTTTTTTCAATAGATTTTTTTAAGATTGAATATCAAGAAGTCAAAAAGTAAATTTCAGCATATTATAAAATTTCTAAATTAGAGCTACATGTTTATGAGATTGTATCCAATTTTTACATTTCCAATTTTTTTTTTTTTTTACTATGTAGTCTGAATACAGTTCAAATCCAGTATAGATTTATTCGTTAAGTAATAGTGACTTTGAAAATTTATAGTGGAGAGCTTGTATGAACCTAAGGAGATTCATTTTGTTTACAAATAAAACTGACATCTATATTTTGATTGAGAACATAATTCTCTACAGGCTTAAAGTTTTGGAGTTTAATATGGACAACTATGCAGAAACAGATAACAAAAATATTGTTAGAGGAGATACTAACATATCCAAAAGATGGGGAAGAACCCATGAAGCATTATCGGATGACAATTTTATATGGGAAGGCATATAACTTATAATGGATATTATTTGAATAAAACTACCGGCAGATGCAGCCGATTCCCCGGATGTAACAATAAGAGAATGTCAAACTTTAGACGCAGAGAGACACGCTTTCGCGCCTCGCAGGGCATCAACGGCTCTTTGGGGGATTTGAATTCTGCGCTTCCGCTGTCAGCGACCCAATGACCTTTGTGCATGCAACAGGCCGAATCGTCGGGGGGAGAGAGAGCATTGCACAAGATCGCCCGTGCGACGTACAGACATGAAGAGCGTCGTCGTTTTGCCGTTGCCTGTCAGGGCCTCCCACTCTCAAACCACACTGCCCACTCCGGGAATTTGAAATTGTGTTACCTCCCTCGGTTTCAAAGTGGAGAGCTCTCCAACCTCTCGGCGTTGTGATTCTTGAAAGCTCGAGGAGCGATGGACGCCCGAACGATCGGGAAATTGTTGCGGTTGGGCTCGGACTTCTGTCATGAAGGAGCGAGTGGTTCAAATAGGACTCCGAGTCTCCGTCGGCGCCATGACTCTCGAAACGAACGCTAGCGATGGGCGCCAGATGCCGCTTGGCTGCTGTGGTGGCGAGGATTTGCGCGGTTCTAACATCGAAGATTTTTCTCGAATGATTTGTGGAATGCGGATCATTTCGCTACGTTCCTTTCAGTTGAGCTGGTCATTTAGTTCGTTGCTCTTCCCTGGACTGACAGGCTGAACACCGTGGAGGGGCCCGTGGATCTGAGAGATTGCGGAGCCTTGCCCTTTTGTATGATTCTGGATTCTGGTTTTGCAGCGCGCGAAGCAAGTTCTGGGTAGGATGGATCCTTCTTGGATGGAGGTTGTGCTGGACTCCATCAAGAATTATCAACTGCAAACGAAACAGTTGTTCGAGCAACAGGAAGCACTTCTCCTGCAAAGGTGTAACGAGATAACTTCCACCAATCGTCCAGCGAAACGAAGAAAAGCTTCCAAGCAGTGCTATGGGGTAGAGGGCAAGGAGAACTTCTTCACAGGTTCGACCTCGCAGAAACAACAGAGCAATTTTAAAAGGATTGATGTGTCCGGAAGACACCTCCAGAGGTTGGTCAACTCGAGTAAGGAGGAACGAGTTTCAAAGCCTTGCTTGGGGACTGAGTCGAAGGAGATAGATGAAAAGAATCCGGAAATTGAGATGGTAGGCTCGGAACAGCTGCAGGAAGCCTTGGACGAGCGTAGTGTCGAGAAGGAGGGACAGCTGAACAACGTTGAGCTGCGCCATGTTGAGTCGCCGAATGAAGTTCTCTCCGCTCCAAGTCCCTGTTTGGAGATTAGAAGTAAATCTCCTCCAAAACTGATTCCAGGTCGAGGAAGAAAACGCGGTTGTGTTGCTGAGAAGGCAGGAGAATTGAGCGTAACTACCGACGCACTTGAGTCTCAGGATGACCCTCCAGGTGTAGGAAGATCAGCGAAAACTGATGACGAACCGCAAGCACCTCGTCCAGTTGCTGCACCTGCGCCTATGAGGATGACTCGTGCTCGGGCCAAGCTGCTGGATAAATGCGATGGTAGTGTGGTGGATGCGCAGCCGAAGGGAAAGAAGCCGAAGGGGCAAAAGGGCAGGGTTAAAGTTCTTCCGCAGGAAATATCTGCAAGAAAAGCAGATGATATTGGTGTGCAGACGATAGACGAGAAAGTCACAAGAACTGAGCAGATTCCGGACGTAGTTTCGAGGCAGGCCGAAGGAAGTGAAGACGCGGGGAGGGAGCACATGAACCAAATTCAGGATGTTGGTGCAGCGGCACCAGTAAAGGAGCCAGGTGTTCAAAAGGTTAGGTCCAAAGCCATGTTCGAAGATACTGATGCGATTGTCAGAATTGACGTTCCGTTGAATCCTAAATCTAATTTGCTGTCTCAAGAGGAACTGCAGTCGGGGCACGAGACGAAAAAAGATGATGTTGAAAGGCAGGTTGGAGGAGAAGACCTCGTAAGAAACGAGCACAGAAACCAGGAGAAGGATGTCAGCCAAGCGGCATCTGCACTCGAAGGGCAATCCGTGAAAAAGGCAAGAACTCTTATGGGCAGGTCCAAAGCCGTTTCAGAAACTACTCCTGCGATCAGCGGAGATGAAATCTCATTGCGATGTGACCATTATTTGCAGTTGCAAGTGGAAAATCAGTTAGGACACGAGGGATTTCAAATTGATGCTGAAAGGCTGTCTGAAGGAGACGATCATTTGAGTAACGAGCACAGAAAGCAAGACAGCCAAGCTGCGCATACACTCAGAAAGAAACCGGTGAAGAAGCTAAGAGCTCAAAAGGGCAGGTCCAAAGTCATTACTACGGAACGTACAACTTCCGATAGCGACGATAGTAGTGCTGGTCATCTGGGGTCTTTACACGAACAGGTGGGTCATGAGCGATGCGAAGGTGATACTGATAAACAGTATGGAAGGGCACGCAGTGTCAGGAATTCGCACGTCAAGAGCGTAATCTGCGAAGAAGGTATCGTAGTAATTCCTCAAGATCAATCAGTCAAGAAGCTAACCCCGCAGAAGGGGTACGCTGAAGCTGGTTCGAGGTCGCAGGCAGATCCCGTTGTTTATGGTGCCCAGGACGTGAGGAATGAAACTGTCATCGATTCAGAGACCGGACCCATGGTGACTGTTCCGCAGTCGCAAATGCTTGAAACGGACGGGGGCTTGAAGCGGCGTCGGCTGGGTCTCAAACAGAAAGGGAGTGAGAAACCTCTCCCGGAACCATATCTGTCTAAGGTGGGTGACTTGACAGAAACTTCTTTGTATGTGCATTCTGCAGGGGAGGAAAATATGAATACTCAAATAGCTCAGGCACTCGACGATCAACACAATGAAGACGTAGGGGAAGCAATCATTGAGGCAACACGGGAAGACCACGACGATTGCTCGTTAGCAGAACTGGATTCTGAAAGATGGGAGGACATTAAGAGGTCAGTCAAAGTGCGGAAGGGAAGGGGTAAGGCGGTCTCCAATTTCCTAGGATACGCTGACTCAGATTTATTCCCTCTTAGGAGTTTCGACATGGCACTGGAGCAGGACAGGTACGAGATAGAAAATGATGTGACTCCTAAAGAAGGTTTGAAAGGGCTCATGCAGACGTCCCGACCATTCTCAGACCTGCTTCAAAAGTTAGACGCGGCTGATTTTGCGTCCACCCAGAGGAGTCTTCAAAAAGAATCGCAGATGGGTGCAGGAAGGAAGGACGATGGTACACATGGTAGACAGTCTGGTGCCTTCAGCGGTGAAGAGTTTGTACCGAGGAACTTAAACACATGCGGAGAATTGAGTGCCAACGTTGGGAAGGAGAGAGGAATACATGATGTCAATCACGAACCTCTTATATATTCAGGGAAGGAATCAGTCTCTAGGAACTCAGTGTTTGGCTCTTTTTCGGAGCAGGGAAAAGTCGGCATACGTGGCGGGGCATCAGTGACGCCCAAGTCCTCGAGTCAAGGACCTGGACCAATCTCAGAGTCCCTGGAGGAGTCAGCGGGCGCTGTTGTATCGGGAAGGGGATTTCGTCATCTTGTGAGCGAGTTGAAGTTGGAGTTGGAAAGCACAGAACCTAGAAGATTGGACCCTGAATTGGTCATTGATTTATTCCAGGGTAACGATTCTGTCAATGTGAGACAGACTGTGCAGCAGAGCTCTTGTCCATTATCGGGAACTAACAGAGCACGAAGCAATGACGGACATCAAACTGTGCTAGCTAGAGCATCGACAGGCAAAGGGAACTCGACAGAATGGACAGTAGAGCTCACCGGAGGTCGAAAGCTCGTCCTTGAGGGAGATGACAAATATTTTACACAGAGCATCCAGACGTTTGCAGATACACAGGAAATGGGGCAAGAAGACTCTACTATCCCAGAGGCTCCAGAACCTAACGTGGATCCAGAGCTTGAAGAATTTTCCTTTGTGGCCTTGGAACAGGTCAGGATTGAAACTGAGCACCAAGGAGGGGACGCATCACCCGTCCAAGAAGCGGGGATTAAAGGTATTAAGTTGAGGATTCGACCTTTTTCTGACTTCAGTGATCCACAACCCTCCACGCAGAAGAAAGCTGGATCGTCAATCTTTTCACTTGTTAAGGGAGAACCCCGCAAGTCAGACGTAAAACAAAGTATGCTTCTTGTTGCGAGCGAGGAGCCTACTACTCTGGAATCACCGAAGTCCATGAATTTGGATGTAGTTGCTATGACTCCTATACGGGGTAAGGTAGATGCTTCAAACAGGAATTTCCCAGAGAAGGAAGACTGGAGGAGCACGGGAACCAAATCTATAGCTCAAATGGCTGCGGGTGGAGTACCTGACTTATTCAAAGAGGTGTTTACGATGAAGACTCCACTGCGATCCCAGAAACGTAACTGGACTAAGGCATTAGGAGAGTGCCAGCCGATGGGCCGAGAACTGAGTCCTCCCTTTCATGTTCGAGAGGGAAGGAGAAGCCATAAAAGTGCTTCTGTAAATAATAGGTCATCTCACAGCCACAAGCTGCGCAGTTCAAGCCCAGTAGAAGATCACGAGAGTGGAGGTTCAGGAGTCAAAAACTGCTCAGCAGCCAAACTATCTTGTACTACAGCAGCAGCATCGCCAAAAGTGGAAGTATCAGGTGCGTTGTTCGACTTAAGGCAGAAAACCTTGATATCGTTTTCCTCAGTAGCTCTGAAGCTAATGCTTATCTCTACGATATTGAAAAGTTTTGTATATAATATCTTGCCACCGTTGATGGCTTAGTGAGTGTAATGAAGAGCTCCGACCGTGGGGCGCTGTGATGTTGATCCGTAAGAGGAATTCAGTCCGCACTTTGCAAATGACCACTCTCAAATGCTTTTTCTATATAATAACTTTGAAAGAGCCGGAATACCTGTTCGTAACTAGATTATTAAGAACTTGTACTGAGAAAGAGCCTCTCCCTAAGGTCTCGTGTCCCGCCAGTTTTTTTCTTGGCAGTTTTTTTCCTTTTTTTCTCTGACAGCCGGGGACTTTTTTTTCAGTTTTTTTTTTCCTTGTTTGTCTGACAGTCCGGGGCTAGTCTTCTGGACTAATCAACGTTAGACGAAATCTCTCGAACTTGCCAATATGTGTTCGGCCTTTGGCTTTCATTCTTGTCTTATGTAAGCTGGATTGGTGTCATAGGTGGAGAACTACATCACAAGCGCACCAATTTGGTATTGACCCCAAATTCGAATGGTAATGTGCCCAACACACATACACATCACGACGTGTTCAGTCCTGTTCGAGTTGACTTATCAAACGACTTGAGGAGAATCGTACACGAAGGGCAGTGTAGAACCGGAATATACGATAGCTCTAGACGAGATATTTCATACAAAAGTGGAAACTTGGGGGTTTTAAGCCAAGTAGTCGCAGTTAGTCCTCCGAGCACTTTCGGGCAACAGAGCCAGCCACGAGGGGTCGTGAACGAGGCTTTGAACCCTCCACAACCGGTTAGCACTGAAGACTGCTCTGGAGACACCGTAGTCTTAAGTGATGACGATCAGGACACCTTAACTTCGAAATTAAAGTCTGTGGATTCGTTCAGACAGGGTGAGACGTGTAACCTTATGGTGCCTTCTCTTCCTTCTAGCCAACCGGAGGTAATGCTTATGTCGACGCATACGCTTGAAGACCTCAATCCTCTTTGCGGGAGCTCTACATATGGAGTGCACAGGGCAGATAGTAAGTTGGCAGTTGAGGACACAAGGAACAGGAGTGAGGAGAAAAGCTGTAAGCTCTTGGAGCGTGAAATACGCTCAGGTGGCAAAGAGGTCGAAGGTGATAGGATTACAAGATCTGGACATATGTCAATTACAAAAGCTTCTGGTTCAGGGGCATTTGTAGAAAGTCTAGAGAGATCCAAGAGGACTCTCCAGTCACCTCTTTGCTCTGAACGAAAGAAGTCAAGACTGTCATTAGCAGACGGATCAGTCAAAAGTTTGGGTTTGGGAAGGACATCCTTGCATTCTGGCTCATCTCTTCGAGAAATTCTTCCAGAAGATGTAGCGCAAGTAAGTGGTGCCGAATCGTTTCATGAAGCAGAAGATGACGCTCATTCGGGAAGCACTAAGTGTGGAGATGATGAAGATGAGGGTGTGGCCTCTGAAAGCAATTCAAATGATGGAGAGTGCGAGATAGCTGACAATTCAATGTCAGTCTCAAGCTTTGGAAAAACTTGCATAGAAGAAACGTCTACATTAAAAGTGTCCCAATCGATTGATAAACCGAGGACCAACTCGAACATCCTTAACCCGTATGCACAGTCGACAAGACTTCTCTCTAACGTGAGAACACTCATACCGGTCAGTCAACGTCCAGCGCCGAACTTCATTCCAAATGGTAATATACCCTGCTGCTGCTCGGCTTTGTGTTCCATTTGAAATACCGACCAGGGTGTCAAACTCTTTAGCATCCTGCATTATGTCATTACTTCGATGGAGTCTCCTCCACTGCAGCAACCGATACACCTGTCGTGATATCTGTGTTTGTTTACGAGTTTCGGATTTACGTCTGTTGCCTGCAGGAAAGAGAGACGTGAAAGTCAAAGCTTTGGAAGCTGCAGAAGCTGCAAGGCGGTTGCAGGAAAAACGCGAGATGGAAAAGAGGGAGAGAATGCAGAAGAGGGCAGACGCCATCGCTAGGCGTGCGATGGAGAAAGAAAAAGCGAAGGAGGAGTTCTACAAAGCGGAGCTTGAGTCGAAAGCATCACAGAAGGCTCTTTCAGACAGCAACACAGTAAAAGATTCCTCGGCTCTTGCAGGAAAGGCAGTTTTAACGGACTGTACCAATTCCAAAAGCTTACAGAGTCCCAAAAGTAAGTCGACGCGTGCTCTGGCTGTAAAGACCAAGATGGAACAGGAGAAAGCGAAGAGGCTCGAAGAAGACTTGAGGAAGAAGGAAGAGGAGCGCAAGAAGAAAGAAGCAGAAGTGCTTGCCCGCAAGCGAAAGAAAGAGGAGGCAGAGAAGAAAGAGCGTGAAGAGAAGCGAAGAAGACAAGAAGATATGTTAAAGCAGAGAAAAGAACAAGAAGAAAGGTTGAGAGCAGAACTTGAAGAGAAGGAGCACCGACATCGTGTACTGGTACTGTGCAATTTCCTGCTATCGAAGTAAAGTTTACATGAACTAGTTTACATGTCTACATTCTAGATTTTTTTTTTCTGAGATGAGGAATTGTAACAGAAGCTCGTGGCATAGAATCGAAGTATTGGGCAAGTTCTGGCTCTCAGCATACGGGTTTTGTTCCTTTGTTTATAGGGGTAAGCAGGAACACCAGCAGCTCATTTTTAAGTCTTCCATTGGCCTAATTATGATCTTACTTATCGTCTGATTTCTCAAAACTTCATGCTGTGAGGAATGATGATCAAGACCCATACTTCGGTTGGAAGACTAACAGACAATCCATCAGTAGTAATGCAAATTTATATCCGAAGTGTGAGGAAATCTACAGAGCCTAAATTTTACGTGGGTACGGGTGGCAGGAGGAAGCTGAGAGAGAAAGGAAGGCCTTAGAGGAAGAGTCGAGACGTCAACGACGAGCGGAAAGGGAAAAGGAAAGAGAGCGTCGCCAGAAGGAGGAGTTGGAACTCAAGGCCGCCAGACAAGCTGAGAAAGAAGCTGAACGGAAGAGGAAAGAAGAGGCTTTTCTTACTTACAAGGCCTCGGAGGAACATGATCACAGGGTACTGATTTCCTCTTGTATCAAAGCAAAGTCGTTGGAATTTCTCTCGTTTGAGAGATTTTCACAGCTGCTACAGATGAATGGATTCCTGGAAATGTAAATCCAAAGGATATGTGCAAGGTATACATGGGATATGTTCCACCTGTCTTATCTGCATTTACTGCTGCTACAGGTGGGTGAGAGTATTGGTGCAGCGAGCAGACTACGCAGCCAACATTCCACGGGGCTTTCCACGGAGAAGCTACGATCGTCTAATTTGTTGTCTAGTGGAGCTTCTCTATCTTTTAGTCGTCCAGCTCGAGTGCCCAGTACAGCGTTTGATGGACGAACCCACTTAATGGCTACTCCGATGGTTCAGAACAAAGGACCCACAAGTGCTCTGTCAGCTGTCAAAATGCAGCCTCTCGTCACAGCAGGTACTGACATAACTTTTTGATGCTACCTAAATTTCTTGCTTCAAAGTTTCTTTCTGAGAATGGAAAATGGAGAACAACAAAACTTGTAATGAAGATACGAAGGTCCTGTCCTGGAGTCGATGTGGACGTTGTGACATCAGCTAGCCTGTTATTAGAGTTGCGAAGAAGAAACAATGTCGAGATATACCATGTCTGATCATCCAATCCAAAAAAATGTAGTAGATTTGTTATTGAGCCGTTTGAAAAGATATTGGAGTTCTTCTATTCACTCTACGAACGTGACTACTTCCTCGAAAGGCTTCAGCATTTGAATGCTGAGTAAGTGGATTATGTTGTATGTTTCCGTCTGCAACAGGGAAAAGCCTCGAAGTGGACCATGGACCTAAACTCTTCGCAACGCCAACACTAGCTGCAGTGAAAGAAGGCGATCCTGGTCCACAGTCCTATGAAATTTCTCCTTACAGAAACTCCTCTGATGATGATGAGGATGAGGAGAGGCTGCCAAGGCCCAAAAAATTCATTCCTGCTTGGGCAAGGTAAGCTGTACATGCCGTCACACTTGTCACTCATTCGAAGTACGACTGATGGAAATTCATGTTCCTATCTTCCGTTTCGTAGAAAGCTGTAATCTCCTTTTACATTCTTGAGACTGAGCCAACTTTTCTTTTGCGCAAAGTCCAGTCCTTACAACGAATTTCGAAACGAAACGGATTTCGTAAAAATCTGTGATCTTGTCATTTCTTGAGACAACCTACTCCTACTCTTCTAATACTAACCTTTTGTGGTTCAGTAAGGAGAATTTGATGCCTCAGTTGCTGAGGCAGCTTACTCAAGATCCCGATGAGATCTTCGCCGGCACCAAAACCTGCAGTTTAAAAGAAGGTAAGTCCAGTCTTCGTAGTGAATGTGTACATCATTCTTCTGTTTGACTTCTTCGGCTCAACCCAATGTTAAGCTAAGTATATCTTCCTTCAATTTTGCAACTTTTGGTGGTGGAAATACCTCTTCCTCTAACACAGTCATGTCGTTTGTGTTGCCAGTGTTTGGTACCAATGGTTCGAAGAAGGTTCTTGATTTTGGTAGACGTAGTGGTAGTGGTGACTGGGTGAAAGATCGTGTATCTTGGAAGGAGGAACTTCAATACAAGATAGACATGGGCTATATGAGCCACATGCATTGATCTTCTAGTTCAACTCGACTAGATATCAGTGGCTTCAGATTAGTAGGCAGGCTAAGCGACAAACCTCGTCGCTAGTCACGGTCAAATACCTTAATACCTTGATGTTTACATGGTCTGTAATTTGATCTTGCTATTTCAGCAAGCAAGGGCATTGTAAAGGGGCATTTATACCCCAATGATTATATATTGTATTATTAGATTATATATTGTATCTTACCACGAAAGACTTGATACTTCGATCTCATGAACGTGTCTTCGTCTATCGCCAACAGGAACAAGTTGGTCCTTGTTTTCTTCATGCTAGAAAAGAAGGTAGATTTTTTAATATGGTGGGCTGGCTTATGGACTGAACAACAAAATAGACGTATCGGAAGTTTTAAAAGCGAAGCTCTTCACTCGGTGTGCTCGCCCACTCAAACGCCCATTGATTTTATGAACTTTGAGCAATTTGGAAACTGGAGATTATTCTTGATCAGGCTTGAACTCTTCTACGGAATAGGCTATCTGTGGGTCCAGAAAGCCAATCTTATGCACACTACAGTCAACACGCTCTCTTAATGTGAAATGACACAGTGTTACCTGATGCGGACAAAGATGAACTTGATTATTTCCTGTACGATACATTACAGGGAGACACATTTTCTTACTGCCACTCTGACGTTTGAGTTTGCCATGCCTTGGGAAGACTTCCTACTTCCAACTCGAATTGCCTTTGCAACCCAGACGAAAGGTATTCGTGGAAATGGCTGCATGCAAGCAGTTCACCCGCAGATGTGAGAAGTTGGAAGAAGAGAACGTTTGAATTTGCCATGCCTTGGGAAGACAGCATATTGAAGACCAAATATAGTTATCAAGAGAATGGTTAGGCGTTGTCACGTGCTACTTGGATGACGTCAAATGGAATATCATGGAGCTAGGAAGTGGTAGCAGGACACGAGGAAATATTTAACACCTTGAATGTCGAACTCATCAGTGTCAAACTACTTACATGTTTCAATAACTCAAGCGGATGACTTACTATGGAACAACCCATTTTTATATTATATATAGAGCAATAGATACACATTGCATACATAGTTTCATCAAATATGATAAAGAGTGTAATGTCCATTACTCACAGTATGGTATGCTTTTGTGCAGTTTATGACAAAGTCAATGTACACTCCAAAGCTAGAGGTGACATCTCTTTGTAATTTTATATTTTGACCTTGGCGAATGCCGCTACACAAGCTGTACATAATGATACTAGAGTATGTGAAATCATACTCTCTCAAATCAGTGCATATGTCTCTAAAGCTAGATTAACAAAGAATTCAATCCTCTACTATCATTCTAATTAGAGATTCTAGTTGATGCAAATCCACTAGCCTCACATCCAGTAGATGATTATCATCATCATTAAAATTTGTAACCACAACTTATGCAACAAAACCCTTCTACTCCATAGCCAAATCTGTGTAAACATCAATCCAAATCGGTACTCAATCCATGCGTGAGGTTTTCATCTTTTGTCCCATATCAAACATCTTATCTTTAGTGTGAAATTTGACTCTTACATTTTGAACTTTTCATGATTTTCACGATGATGTTCTAAGTGAAGTTTCAAGTGCTGCATATAGGGTGCCAGTAAGATTTTGCGTTAAGGATTGGATTAACTTTGCACAAGAGACTTTTCTTATAAAGTAATAAAAGAATGAGATCATAATTCATAATTGAGTATTGAGAAATAGTCACATGATATTTCCGATGTGGCATTGATTGTGATATATGTAGGATCTTAAGACAAGTTGAGAGTTTTGTAGAGCTACAAGTGCTTTTTAGCTATTGTTTATGTCTACTTCACATCCAACCAACAATGTATAACACTAGGGGTTAAAAGAAGAGCTCACTCGAATATAAAACAAAAACTTTAAAGATCATAAATAGGTAGATTGGTTTTTTTTCTTATATAAATTTTCCATAAAAAATACAAAAATATAAATATCATCTTAACTATCTATTACATTCTTAGTGTATTGATGACTTGTTTCTCTCGATTAACATGATATCTGTTATACTCCAAACATACGGATTGATAATGTTTACCTGTTAAATAACACATTTATTCTTTGTCTAATAATCATGCAAATTGATGACTTTTTGCTATTAAATAACACTATCATTTTTTAATCAAAAAAGTACACGAGATTGATGATATACAATTAATAATAAACTCATTTACTCTTTGATTGATTGGTTTTGTCGATCGATGCATCTATTTCACCTTAAGTTACTTCTTAATATTAAAACTTAAAGAGTGTGAAGTCTAAGACCTACAACTTCAAAGTCTTGAATAGGTTCAAGACTTTGGACCTATTACTCGAAAAGAATCTTTAAATGAGCAATGAGATATAGCATTAAGGCGGACATATGAAATTCAAGATGGTACATATATTAAATGAATTTCTTTGGTTACGAACCATGATTTAAAGGTTCAGTTTTTGTTTGAAAACTATTGTTATTATTGTGAATGTCTTAATCCATATCATAGCACATCTGTTGAGATTACTGAAGAGCTTACAACATGTTAACTTAACATAAGATATTGGTGAGATTGATGGTAAAATAAATCATATGAGATTGATTGTTTTGATGTTCAAACAATTCCTGTACATACCTAATTTGGGATGCAACATAATAGCACTTCATCTTATGCATGGATGCAAAATCATATGGGTTTATTATCGTCATATGATAGTCATCTTGCCGTCATAGAAGCAAGGAGAAGGGACAAATTGTTATTCTCTTTGTTTTTTCATTGGAGCTAGAAATTAAATTAGAATTCTCGTCTCATAAATTTGTGGAAAGTTTTTCATTGCGCTGAAACACAACTAGCTAAAAGATATGGAGATTCATACAATTCATGTTGCCATTGGGAAGTTGTGTTTGTTATGGATTATGAGTCAGACGTATACAGCTGTCATATAAACTAGATAGCATTGATTTGCATTGCAATTCACTCGGGTTGATGCAAATATCTAAAATTATATGTTCTTTATATTAAATATGTACCATATATGGTACATATGTGTCGGGTAAATAGCCAAACTCTGGTTTGCTGAACTTGATCAAATAGTGTAACATCCAAAATATGGTTTGTATAGACAACTAAGGAGTCGAGGCGAAATGGGAACTGCAGAAATGGAGACATAAAGTTGAAAGAGACTTCACAACCATGACAAAGAAGAAAATGTGAATCAATTGCCATCTGCATTCACTACTGATAAATGCCATATAGACGGTCGTTCACACAAGGAAAACATCCTCTGTCATATGTGTATTACGTAGACAATTTACCAATGAGAAATAGGGAGCCAACATGGAGATGATTTGGCTAGTGACACAATCTATAACCAAGTTGCAAATTTGCTATAGTCAAAGATATCTACCAGCGATGAACAACATGCAAACCATTACTTAACTTGCCAAAGGTTCGTTTCATGCGAATCATGAAATCAAATCCGACTCTGGGGAGACCATTGGTCTCACACAAAGTCAGCCAAGAAAATTCCTTTCCGGAAGCAAACATATGCTCATGCAAGTATGATACAAAGCTCAGTGCATACCACGCATCCTGCAAAGAAGCAAACCTTGTCTCTATAGGAAAAGCAATGTAGGGGTTCTCAAATTTATCTCATCTATAGAGTACATATAACCAACTTTTACAAAACTGTTCTAAGTACTTTACCATGCACTTTGAACACATTAATATACATTGCTATACAAGTTTATTCAATCGCAAGGTAAGAATTGTGTACTATTCACAAGGCTGAAGAAGACAAAGAGAACACTGTTTACGAGCTTTCAATCGCAACCGAGCAACAAACGTATTACCGAACTACACCAAGAGGTATATCAAATCTTCAGATTTATTGATGTGCTTGAAGGTATACCTTACTATTATAGTATTTAGAATATTGGACTAACCATGCATTAGAGTTTTTCAACTTTATCCACCTGAAAGAATCTTCAGCTAGGCTTAGTGTATCTCGTCACATCTGAATTGCTCACATGTTAGTGTGATACTACTTTACATTCAACAAGAATTTATCTAACTTCATGTTCATCAAGAATAAAGAAGAGACCAAAATATTTATAACCTATGACAAGTATCTAACCTGATGATCGTATGGAGTACAATGTAGACCAAGATATTTATTATCTACGATGAATACCTGCACAAAATTATGTAAGAATATATCACTGTAAGCACTATAAGATTCCATGCGTGCCGTGCGATAGACTCGTATGAGCAAGACAAACACCGATGGTGACGTACGAGGGAATCGAGACAAGCGAAGGAAGAAACCATCGTGCTTTGGCTGATTATGTATCCAGGTTCCATCATTTGATGGGCAGTTTTGAGACCTACCAAGTATAGAGTTGGTGTGCGCGATGTCCGCCAAACCTCAAGGAGCTCGCAACATCTCTATTTTGGACTCTTACATGGACTCTTACAAGAGAGATTTAAAGGCGTTCGCACCGACTACTCATAGAGGCAAAACAACTAGCTTAGAGTTGAAGAGATAGAATTCAACACGTTCGCCATGAGAAACATGTTCGGCACCAGATCATAGGATGCTTATAGTTCAATGAATACATACTACAGGGATTACTTTGTGGTTCATATGACCTCTTGGAAAAAAAAAAACTCGCACAAATATTCACTTAAACAAGAAAATGGTGTTTTTTTTACTAGCTTCCAAACAAATTGAGCTGGAATGTATGATACATTTCTTGACGGAGTATGTTTGTATCTATGAAGGAAATTGATCAATTGATTCAATCATGCACGCTCGGAATACAATTGATGAAGAGTAATGGTTAATTTCCTTGATAATGTTGTTCTTGATAACATCATCAATTTCTTGAAAACAAATCTCACGGCCCTTTTGAATTCTTATCATCAATATGATCACAAATCAAATTTAAACAAATACATCAATTACTGTTGAACAACAGTATCCTTAATATCATCAAAAGTGACTTCTTGTGTGAAACGAATATCAATTACGCCTCATATATTTCACATCAATTTGTTCAATTCAATAAGTTGTTGTGAGATGATCATGTCACACTTGTGCAGTGTCTTGAATGAAATTTGAATGATTGCAAAAAGTGGATTGTGATGATCCATCACTTATTGAACGGAGTTTACATGTAACATTTTTACTCATTTTGTTGACTAATGCGCCAGCAAAAATGTAAAATCCATTTGAATAAACTACCAAGTGCAATTCATTGTGTCGTGTCTTTGAAGCATTTCGATGCTCCTATGTGGTTGATCAAGTCGACTTGCAATCTTAGGTATACTCACAACACAAGAACTGTATTGTAGAAATTGCCACCTTCAACGTTGTTGGTTGCTTCCTTGACGAAAAAATTCAGCAAGTAAGGAGTACATCAAATGAAAAAACTTTTGTTTGAAAACATTCGCACCCATCGTAACAACTTATTCAATCTGTTTTGTCATCTTGATTTTGCCATTAGAGATGATTTTGTCAATCCAGATTGAACAAAGTACGTTTAAGAGCATGTTGATCAATTCCACGTAGCTCACCGTAGTATGACAATTTCAAAACAACACCAAAAATATATGCAAGTTAATTAACACACCGTCTACACACATTCAAATTTGCTGATGCAATAATGATATATTTGAATATGTTAAATAATCAATGATGAACAACAACGTTAAAATAAACAATTTGCACAACACCGTAAAAATGAATTTGTTTTTGAAACGGCAAGAAAAAATGTTCAACCATATGATTGATTATTCCAACCAATTTAATGTTCTTGGTAGTATGGCGATGTTGGATAATTACAATAGTGGTGAACGACATATTCGCTTTTGTGTGATCAATAGACAACCAAAATCACAACAAATTTTTGATGGTCACAATATACTTGTCAACATACTCGTTCACTTTTAGTTTGAACAATTTCATAACATTTGTCTTCAACATTGATATTATTTCATCGTCGTTCTCATCAATCTCTAGCTTGAAGAATAAATTACTAACAAGATCATCAACTATTTTCAGGATGTGAATTTTGAAAGAGATTGATTCCAATTTGTGATCCACATATAAATGTATCTGATTTCTAAGTTTTTTATCAAAATATTTTGTTCTGTGCTTGAGACAAATGCTGATATGTTGTCCAATCGTTTCAATATTGCGATTCAAAATGCTTTTTGTACCACTTGAATCAAAATGGAAATTGAAATAGTTGAATGTTTTTATTGCACTTTTGGCTCATGCTTCCACCTTTTCGGCTCTTCTTTCCATTGAAGATGCAAAATTGGCATTGAATAGTTTTCACATTTTTGTCGTAGGTAAAATACTTTGCAATTTTGAAGCAATGTTGAATATATTTTTTCTACTGAATGACGTTTCATGTGGCATTGAACTGTTGAACCATGTAGTGATACCACACACGTTGCAATCGCTGGATTGATATGCCACACATTATATGTATTTTACGCAGTGAGTGCAAACTTTCAAAGATTTGCGCCAAAAAACCTCAATTGCAACCAAGGAGTCACTATAAGTGATATATGAAAGAAGTCTTTATTATGATATCAGAGCACTTTAATTGTGGCAAATGTGGCATCTGGTAATAGGATGCCACTTTTAATGATGTTGGGTGTAAATGAACAAGGTTATGAAGTTAGTAAGAAGTTATAATCTTAAACTTCAAAAGTCCATCCTAGTGGAACAAAGAGAGAGTGTGGAACCATAGAACATGGCTACCCAAAGCATACTTCACAAAAACATATCAAGAAGCATATCACTGCATAAATACACATGTGGAGTAGATAGAGAAAATTACTTAATAGTATCCTAGCAGAACACAAAAGTCTTGCTAGGACACAACAAGTTTCATTTTACCCGTTGGTATCCTCTGCCGGCCCTTCCTACCATCGTCAACGACTTTCCCACGAGTTTTTGCGTCGGGACTGAAATGCTAGCAAAAGCGATTTCGTCGAGGAGGTTTGGAGCATATGATATGTGGCGAGTTGATAATTCTAGTCACGTTCGCTGCTTATTTTGGTAAGTGAAGTATTGTTTTGAGGAACTCAAGGTGCCTCTCTAACAACCACATACTAATTGAATTTCGGGGAGAAGTATCTCTTTTTCGACGAAGAGTTGCAGTGGTTTTACTAACCCGGAAACAAAGCAGTTATAAGAACTCGTATGGGAACATGGGTGATGGTGGGGTGAAGTGACATAAGAAGTGTCCATAGGGTAGAATGAAACGTTTTGGGTCCCAACAATACTTTGGCTTTCTGTTGGGATCCATGAAGTAATTTTCTTGAGAAGATATGCGGTATTCCGTTCCTTCTAGTTAGAGAAGTAACGTGAACAAGACGAGTAGATGTGCTCGATCAGATGGATAATGTACTGCACAATGTTACTTAAGATCCACCATTCGCTACTGCAAGCTGCTCGGGATTCCGAGGTAGCAGTATGGCGGGTACCCAGATCAGGCAATCGGGCGATTCCTTCGCGGTTGCTGTCCTGCCGGCGACTTTTCCCAGGGCCTCGTTTTATTCTAAAGTTTTGGGAATTCTTAACGTGAACACAGAAAAATAAAGAAAAATAAACATGGAAGAAGTAGAAGAAAAGACCATAATGCTATTCATGACGTGCAGTTCCATCTTCCTGAAGTGAGCTTCCTCGGAAGCATCATTGAGCTCGGAAGGTACCAAGTCACCTCGACTCCGTCTTTTCTTGTGACTTCCCGGCCGCAACAAAAATATAGAATGCTTTCCTTTCCTGCGGCTGGGAACTCGCAGTTCGATTGTCGCATGTCCTGTACGAGTGGGCTGCGTTGATCAGCGACTTGAAGTCCGACATAGAAACAGAAACGGCCGTCGTATTCCAGAGCATGACTGCAGCGGGTTAAAAGTCCTATCTCTAGGACCACGGTCGTCTTTGGTCTCCTCTTAGACGCCATGTGTCAGCTGCCATTGGTGCCTCTTGTATACCTTGCGGCCTTATAAGATACAAAGACCATCCATGGACATAAGCAAAGACGAACAGTGAGGATCACTGAGGAAAGGAAGATCATACACAGCAATCTACATTTCGCTCTCGACTCTCTCCATTACCACTCTGCAGGAGCATTTTCTACTGTAAATATGACGCTGAAGTTGTATGGAGATCTTCTGTCTCAGCCTGCAAGAGCTGTCGACATCTTGCTACGGTAATGATAGCGCCAACCCTCCCTTTTTTCGATCATGTGATGCGGGAAGCTGTGCTTGGCACGAGGGATAGAATGTAGAGTGTCCAGGATCCTCCAGGTTCCGGTAGAAAACCTGTTGATTTCAACCAGAGTGCATCGACGCCATGTCAGCTGGCTTTGCAATCATATCCCCTATCTCATCTCCAGATGACCACTTTACAAACTTAGGAGCAAACCGGTAATGTTAGTGCTTTGTGTTTCAGATTGAGAGAAGTAGGATCTTTCCTTTATCTGTTGATTGTAGTATACTTTGTCTTCACTACGAGGGCGTTTTTTATTATTTTCCTAAAATGCCTAAAGTGAGCTCAGCACAGCGGGCGTGAGTGGACTGGAGATGAGGAGATTAGTGTATGGACTCATCTGTTACATCCGGGCCCGGATAGCATGCTATATCATGTGCTAGTGTCGTTCGACTAGAGCAGAGAAGCTTGAAATTCGTTCAGTCTATGGGGGAGATTTCCAGAATTGGGTGTGCGGTATGTGAGTATCTCTCAGTCTGGTGCTACTGCATGGTACAGAGCAGGCTCTCACTGGAAAATCTGAACGTGGAGAATTTTGTTCAAATTTTCCTGATCGTATACACTTTACGAATATGCTCATTTGAAAGGAGCACGTTCTTTGCTTTATAGCCAATCCGACCCTGACATGTGGCTGTGATACAGGGCCAACAATGTCGAATATGAATTCGAATATGTGAGTCTTAGGAAAGGAGAACATCTTACCTCTGCGATGAAAGGTGACAATCGTATTTCCCGCAAATTATCATGATTACAGCTTGACTTCTGCTGGATTAATTTTTACAGTTGCTGGGTAGAGTGCAGATATCGTACTTAGACTCCTCAAGTGACAACTCCGTTTTCAAGGTTTTGGGTCTCTTTGATTAGACTTGTTTTGTACGCTGTACTCGAGAAGAGTTCGTTCCGCTCAGTCATGGAGTGAATCACGAGGAAATATTGTCTATCATAATTAATGTTTTGACGTGGTTCAGATCCTGACACCGTTGCGGTTCATGGCGCAATTTCAAACTGCTCTGCTCTTTTTCCGTGTTCAAATCCTGTTCTATAATGTGTATGAGTTCCAGGGCATCCTGATTACACCTTTTAGCTGTGTCGTCTCTCAGATGTCTAGTTGCTCCATGTTCCAGTATCCAAACATGTTAACAAGCTGGAACGTAGGATGGGCGCACTCATCCGTCAAGCTTGGCGCTTTGTAACGACAGTTTTGTACATCAGCAGATGTGGATGTAAATCTCAAAATTTTTCGTCCTGACTGTGCAGCTTTGAACCCCAGAGGACAAGTACCTTTCATTATCGACGATGGATTCGTTGTTTGCGAGAGGTAAAAGAATTGTGCCGTTTTTAACTGAGTGATATGTCATTTCCGAGAATCGTCTCTACGAAGTCTCTGTCCTCAGCTATCCAGAATTGCCTTCTTGCTTCTTTGTATGTGAAGGTCAAATGTTTCTTGTGAAATGCTCAATGCGCTTCACTTTATCACGTGATCTTGAACTTGACTAACATCTCGCTCCTGTTTTCTTCCATCGCAGCTCCACGATTATGAGATACTTGTGTCAGAAGTACTCGCTGCCCGACCACTGGTGAGAGTTTATCAACTGTAAACCCAATCCAGATAGAGGGATAATGAGGCCCATCCATGGATTCAGCTTTGGACATATTTTTGTAGGTGAGATGTGAATTTTAGATACAAACATTCACACACTTCAACAACGTCAGATTGTAGAATTGTTGATGAGACCTGATTTAAGGCTTTAGGGTAGTAAGTTCGAGTTTGGGTTCTCAACTCTTTGTTTGAAGCAGGTACCCTGCAGATCTTAAAAGCAGAACTGGCGTGGATACCCTGCTGGATTGGTATCACTCAAATCTCCGTGCAACTTCAGGTAAGATTCTTCATCAAAAGTGCACAATCAACTCTTTGGCAGACGGAAGATGATTTAGAAATCAATCGATTAGTTGTTCAAGGCTGAAGCTCACAAAAAGACCAGCGCAAAAGTTCAGAGCAGTTACCACAAACATTTGCAAACCTACGTGAAGTTGCCACATGGAGCTGTTGGTTGATAGAAGCTGTTGTTGTAAGTACGAGTGCAAATATGACGTCGAAATGCAACGTTGTACATGAGAGTGATGAGCATGGAATAGAGGGACTGGGCATAAGAAATTTGCTTGGGTTCAATTTGCCTTCACGGGATGAAACTCTTGTGCCATTTCATCTTGTCATGAGCCTAAAGTTTATAGAGTTCGAGACGTTGAAAATGGTCGTATGTGTAAAAGTAGAGTGGACTTTATTCAATGATGACTGCGCTTGAGTTTTAGATGAAGCGGTTGCTAAACTGAACCGTGGGAACTCGCAGGTTACGTATTCATGAAGGGCATGCAAGTCTCCGTATTCAAGATGTCCCCACCGAGAGAAGAATATATCAAATTGAAGGAAGACATTATGCTCATGTCCTTGAAGATCTTGGAGGAGTCGTATCTGACCGAAGAAGGATCTTTCCTGCTTGGTGCCTCTCAGCCCACCATCGCCGATGTACTCCTCGGCTGCGAAGTCACGCAAACTTGTGTAAGTGGGAGCTCCTAGAACTCATCCGTTCGACAAACCCTGATCATTTAAAGAGTGAGAATAAACCTCATCGAATGTTTGTTTGCAAGAGTTTCCACTCCTTTCAAAATCTACGTGTTATTTTTGGCAACGCCGCTTCGTTATTGAAATCGTGCCATGGATCGTTCCAGATGCTTGATGAGGCAGATCGTGAAAGGGTGCTCGGTGGAAAGCCGAAGATTGCAAAATGGCTCGCAGCATTGGAAGAGACCACGGCTCCTCACTTTGCTGAGGTGCATACCACAATCCGCTCCACTGCAAAAGAAATGGAAGCATCGAGCAAGTAGTGGGCGAGCTGCGCGGTGGAGGGATACTTCCGGAGCGAATCATCGGTCTCATACCTCGATCGAAATGAAGAGCCTTTTCGGCTCATCAAAATCGAACGCTTAGAATAAGTCGATTAAACTTGTCACATCGAAAAATCATCAGAGTATGAGCTTTGAGAAGGATCTTGGAGGGTCACGACATTTTTGGGCTCCCAGTGAGCGTGGAACTCTCCTCGAAACGCGAGGTCGTGCATGCTCTCTGGTCTCGACTATTGCTGAAGCAACTGTGCACAGTTTTCATCCTGGAGTTGAAAGTGCATTTTTCCCGCATTTTCTTTGTATCAATAAACAAGAGTTGGCAGATAATTTCTCATCCACAGTGAGCGAGATCTTACTCGATGAATTACTCGAGAGCTGGCTCTTTCTTTGTCCACACCGGTTTCCAACTTTATGATCTAGGTCGAAGCGATATCACGTGGGCACACCTTTATTTTTGCACTAAATGATTGTGGGTCTTGAACCAGAGTAGCCTCAATCAGCGGATATATCCCACTTCCATTTCCCACTATGGAAGTCTTGCGAAACAGCAAATCTCACAAATAAGCACGATGAAATACCTCGGTATAACAGAATTCGACAGTGACAAATCTCGCCAATAATGGCATGAAGTTGAGGTTGGTAAGCAATTTCAAGCTTCCTTCCCTCAACAACCGCATAAGAACTGCGGGTGTGATGTAATTGCCTTTCGAACAAAGTGTGCCGCAAATAAAACTTGCTGTATAAAATCTTTAGTCCAAAAATTCAGAGATATATGTGGTCACTTACACATGCCAAAATAAAATATAAATGAAATCATTACCTGAACTGATTATATGTATGGGAGGCTAGTTATACTTAGTACTTAGACTCGTGTTTGTGCTCTTCCTCCTGTTACTATACTATTCCGCCAACGCAGGAAGAAGTCATTGATTTTTATTTTCTATTAAATTATATTTGATTCACTCTAACCAATTATATTAACAGTTAGATTAGAATATATTTAATCTAACTATATAGAGTGAGGACCTTGAACCACAAGTGCGGGATCCAACACTCTGTCCCAACTACCACACCGCCATGGTCGCTCAAACTGTTGAACAAAATTTCTTAAACAATTTATATAATTTTTGTAATGTGAGTGAGAATTAATATAGATCAAAGGTTAACTAGCCAAATGTTGCTATGGATTGCTTCTCTCTCCGTGAAAGTGCCTATGGTACCAATTCATGTTTGGTTACCTGAAGCTCATGTGGAGGCAGCTGCGGCTGTATATGCTCCCTTATGTATCTATATTTGTTCAGATTCCAACATTATTTTACAATGAAATGAATCAAAAGCAGTGAGTACAAGTCAAAGTTGACTTGTAAATACGTTTGTTGAGATTTAGCAATAATTCTCCTTCTATAGACATGTGGAAGTACTCATTTTTCTTCACACTTTGTAAAGACCTTCTAATATTATATCAGCTATTAATTAATTTTAATTACATACTAAGAGATTTCAAACTAATTTTGTAATAAGATTATGGAATTTTTTCCTTATTCCTCTAAGTCTCCTCTCAAACCATGTGAACTAAAAACATGAACAAATCGTGAGAAGATTTTATTTTATTTATCAGCTTTTACCTATCACTTGGTATTTCCGCCAATTGAGTATTTTAATAAGCTGTAGAAATAAGAAGGATTCGTCAAGATTTGATGTGGAGATTGGATGAAGCACAGGAACATATATGAATTAATTATAGCGGCTGAGGCTTGGTTAAGAAATCCCCTCGCACTCAGCTTATTATGCATATTCCCTAAGCTGGAAGAGGCATAATACCATGGCAAAAGTACTGGAGTATTAACTTTGGTGTTCGAAACTTGGCCCAGAATTCTTCTGATTGCCTTATAGTTGCTAGTAGCAAGAGTCGCATGTTTCATCACTTCTCTAATGGACACTCGTCCACAACTCCCCCAGTTCCATGCAAAGAGATTGGCTCAAAAGCAGGCATCATTCAACGTAGATTCAGGGAAATTCTAACCTACTAAAAACAAAGCGGATCTTTCTGTACCCAATTCTGGTGAAACACGAAGAACTGCATAAGCCTCAACACCATTACTGGGCACTGTCTCGTAATTGTAAAACAATAGACATTTCCATTTGTGAAAAAGGCACTCCATACTAATACCTAGATAAATATTGTAATATTTAATTAAGGAGAGGTTAGTTATCTTTCAGTTTGGGCTAATTATAACTCAAGCATTGAACAGAGTTATCACTATGTTTACTAGAGGGTATGTGATATAATATTCGCGAACGGATAAAAGGAGAGAAGTAATGCACATTTAAAATAGCGCGAGTGTTAATTAGATTAAACCAAGTGATAACTAGACACTCCGTTTGATTATCTATACAAAGGAGACTTTAATAATCCGGACCCTTATGTGTGTCGGGTGCAGGCACTCGAGAATGGTTTCTTGGGGGATGGTGCTCAACACCAGGCCACATTGGAACGCCCGTGCTCTCCAATAGAGTTGTGAGAATATTATCCCATTTCCTTCTTTTCGAGGTAGTAGTATATTGTCCCTTCAGCTAACCGGCGGGGACGGCTTGTAGTCTCAGGGAATTTTGATAGACGGCACGGTTTAAGAGGTCTTAGGTCCAGGGGCCTTTTAGTACAAATAGGGGCATATTACATGGATAAGCCTTATCCATTAATAATAATAATAATGTAAAACAATTATGAATATTACCTGCCACCTCCGTCACATTTGCGATCTACCGCTGTGCACCAAAAGTCCAATTTGGCTCCTCGAGTCATCGTTCATTGACCTGACTGAACTGGTCCCCTTCCTCTATTCAGTTACAGCCTCTACGAGGACAATCATACATGCTCTTTTCTCCAGCCAGTCACGAAGCTTCTTCGGAAATTTGGGCCCTAAAGTTTGCCGCTGTCCGATTGGGGAAAGAATTCAGTTAAGATCTCATATGCAAAGATCCGAGGGATATGAATCCGGCCAGAAAGAAAAAGAACTTATGGCGCTGCATTGGAGATTCCGAAGTCATGACCAAAAATGCTGCAACGTAACCAAGATAACCACCACCTCGTACAGTTCGGGGATATTTTCATTCCATTCTTTTGACTCCCCACCTTTCTTGGTTGCTGTCCAGCATCCCCCGACTGGATGCTCACACGTCGTCGTCTTGCGACTACGGAATTTGGCAAGACGCCGAAAAATCTACAGAAAGAGATATGGAGATAAAGCAGATGGACGAGCCGGACAACTAAGTGGGTCGAACTTTTCAATCACTCACAAGATATATCGAAAGTAGGCTACTCATGCATTGAAGCAGATGGTCTAGAAGATTGACGCATTCAGTGTTCTGCTCCCTGTCTGTTCATAATGCTGCTCGTGTCAAACGAAATTTTTACATCCATCTTTGCAGACAAACAATGTACGAGCATCATGCTAGCATTCTTCGAAACAGATTAAGCGCCCCCGAAAGTGATAATCTCACAAATGAACCTCCGATTTTTGCATAAGACAGGAAGAACTCGATGACCTGGAGCTTACGTACTTGGAAGTAAACAGCAAATCTCTCCGCTGAGTCAGACGTAGAATTCGAACGTTCTAGAGTCCCTGCTGGACTAATAGGCCGACGGAGTCACCTCCTTTTGATTAGATCCGATGAGATCGACGACCGCCGATCCGATCTACCCATACTCGTCCGTCGGAGCGGACGGAGATTCCCGCGTCACAGCGTTCAGCCTCTTTGGACTCACCAGGTTGATGAATGCGAGTAGGACAGGCTCCCCACACAGGCTCACGTAGTACAGATGCTAAAGCATGGTTGAAATCAAGCCCCTGGTGTACGTGGACTTAACAGCCATGGAAGGAGCGGACTGTTTGCGGTGACGACAAGAAGCCGAGGCACTGCATGCCACCCACCAGGACTGTGGGCTCCGACATGCTGACATTGCCGAGTCACGGTGACTCATGGCCTGATCCGCAGGACCGCGTTATCCAGTGCGATGTGGACTGTGTGCATGACCTCTTTCCGGGCCGTGAACTTCCGGGGCAAGCTGCATGCCCCTGGAGACGGACGGACGGCCTCACCGGTCTTCGTTTTAAGTCCTCGTGCGGTCCGCAGTTTACGTATTTCTGTAACGCTTGGGGAAGTGTAGCGAAGGTTGCATCGAGAGGATCAGAGCTCGCGTAACGGCCATCGCTCGAGTACACGTTGTGGACGCGCCTCCTGTTCGACGCTGAAGTTGTTTCAGTTCTGCCCTGAGCTCGCGAAGTCTGTTTTATGGCCGTAGCGCTCTCTGCCACCACCCCAGCCTCAGGGGTGTCGCAGCTGTCGTCCACATTTCTGCCCAGAACGCAGCGTCTGCGGGTTTCTTGCAAGCCCGCCTCTTTTAAATTGAACGTAGCTAGGAGTGCACGATGTGAAGTGGCCACTGAAGAGATCCAGGAAGATGGAGTTCTAAGCGTTCCGAGCTTGTATGGGCTTCTGGGTATCGATCAAGATGTCGATTTGAATGACATCAAAACTGCTTACAGGCAGATGGCTCGCCTCTACCATCCGGATGTCTGCCCAGTTTCAAAGAGAGAGGAGTGCACCAAAATGTTCCTTCAGGTTCAGGACGCGTACGAAATTCTGTCTGATCCGGAACGGAGGGCGGAATACGATTACCATCTTATGCATCCGCTGAGTGCCAACGCTTATGGTTTGGGTAACTTCATGAAGAGAAACAGGGGCCCAAGATCCAGAGAAGGCGTTTCGGAAGCGTGGAAGATGCAGTGGCAAGCTCAGCTTTCGAGATTGGACATGAAGGCTCGGATGGAACAGGCCCAGGCGAAGACATCGTGGGGTGCCCAGATGCGAAGTCGCACAGCACAAAACTAGTTCGATTCTGAGCCTGGCTTGTAGTTCACCGTAAGTGTCATTCCTAATTGCAGGGGGAATTCATCACGATTTTGACCAAGTCTTAACCTGACATGGACGAAGGTTCATTAGGAAAGGTTGGCATTCACTGAGTTCCTGCCGTTCAACCTCATAATGTCATTGTATAGGAAATTAGTTAAACGAGATTGCTCATTTGCTTCATCCAGGTAGGTTTTCATCGCGAAATCTACTGTACATAACACAGAGAAGTGGCATGTCGTTTGCCACCGTGGAGAAAACTCATTTGTAAATCATTCGAACGGATGAAGCTCGAATGGTCATTCTTTCAGGGGAGACATGGCAAGTTACTGGATCGAGAACCTGTACATTAAAATTCTTTTGAGCCATTAAAACAGTCTCTTCTTCGATCACATCATTGTGCACACATGATTGTGCGTAAATACTTGAGACATGCAGTCTCATGTGGGTGAATGTATCTCTTGCATGGACAATTACATTTTGTGTCTATTCCTTGCAGTTTAAGTACATGCATGTACTATCTGAACTTCCATTCCTCTTATGAGGACTTCAAATTCTGATACGATTTCCTAATCTTTCGAACAGATCCAGTGAGCCGTGCAGTCGTCTCTATTCGTGGACCTGATCGATCAGAATTACCTCAGTACGTCAAACTCGCTGACAAGATGAGTAGTGATCTCAGAATTTTGTCTTATCAACAGATGCGTGCTTATCTCTTCGTGAATCCAAACAGGACGTGACACTGATGAGTAAAGATAGCACTTGAATAGGAAAAACTCCTCCGTACATTGATTGTACTTGTTAAGGGGGATGAACCTTGCTCAATCATGATATTGTGCGTACTTGGTCAACCTTTTTTCTTTCGGATACATACGCAGTGTCCAAAACCAATACCCGATAAGTATATATTTCGCGAATAATAGTGACTTAAGCAAATATTACAACATAACCATGAACATCTGTGACAATCAACGTGAAATTGAGTACAAGCACACCTCCAGGTTACAAGGGTTTTCAAACGCCAGTTTGGCGGTTGAAAACATTGGTAATCAAATTTGGTATCCACTTCAATTCGAGACCTGTCACCAAGAAGAAAATATAATGACCGGCTTTTTGTTTACCTGAACAGTGGTGAGAAGGAATTTGATGACTGCATGACCTACCACTGAACTAGAAAGGAAAGTTCTTTCCGAAAGTCCACACTCAGAAAGCTAACTAACTCTTATTTGAGTGTTTTTAGCACCCCATAAGCCTTCCGACCTTAAGCAAATCATTTCTTCCGCCAGAGTTAACCCTTTGAATAATTGTCACATTGACTTTAAACTTCATATTAGTAATTTCTATCTGATCTTATTGTAAGAAAAACCCATGAATACTTTGAGCGTGTGTTGTTATAGCAATGTGATAATTATGCTTTGCGCATACTACTTTAGTATAGAAGTCATCTATAGAATTGTTACAACAAAATATGGAATTGTTTCTATCATCATTCCATCACACAAAGTTTAAATTTCATCAAATTTCAATATAACAATCAACATGATGTCCAACAATTTACTTGCGAAGTAATGCTACCAACTCAATCCATTTGGAAAAATACTCCACCATCATCAACACACAATTTTTTATCTACAATAAATGATTTAATGATAGCAATGCTACCAATATATTTGATTGAAAACATGTTTCATCATTATCAACCTAAATATTTGATCATCTATATTAAATAATAGATATCTTCCGAATTCCAAGTAGAAAAATATCAAATTGTTGTATTAAGTAAGTAGGATATTATCAGATTGAATAATCATCAAACATGACCTATACTTAATAATCTGACATTATTTCACCTTTGCATGTATAAATTTCATCAATATTAATATTAATTATATTTTATATTGGATTTACTCCAAATTGACTTTACTCCTTGTTAAAAATTACTTCAGAATTTGGTCAATTCCAGCTAATTTTTCATGGTTAGTTAATCAATTTTGACTACCATTACATAAGTTAGCGGATTGTAATTATGAATAAAAGGTATTTTAGGAATTTTAATAAAATATTTGTGTTCACGTGAACATAACCTCAGTAGTATTGATCACAAATCCATATGAGTTTTTTATTTTGTATTTGCATTGTGAATTACTTAATATCTATGATTATGTCGTGGATGTATAGTTTTATATGAAAGAAAAGTTATTAGAAAAATTTCAGCATTGCAATTTGTTTATTCACATTCAAATATTTTGCAAATTCACATATCCACAAATTTTAAACATTATGATGAGTCAAGTATGAAAATGACATTCAAAGTGTATAAGATGATAAAATCTTAAGGATTTTTTTTCATTGGCAGCAAGTCCTTGCAAAACTTTAAAAACTGATCCATCAAGACTTGAAAAAGATTTATTTTTATATTTTAATGAAAAGTAATTTATAAAAAAATGATATTAAGAAATGATGAGAGTATCATCAGAGAGTATGTTCATATTTTAATTCAAGAAGTGCAGATCTATGATGCTTGAAAATCTTTGAATGTATAATAGGTATGACAATTGATGTAATCAATAATTCACAAGCATTTATGTACACACATTTTATATTGATCTATTATTTTGAATGAGTTTAATTTTTTGCTTGAAAAATTAAATCATTCACATAGCAAATGATGATGATTTTTTTATTTGAACAATTTTTGAACTTCAAACTCTTTAAAGTGATAAAAATTATGATTAAGTTGCATGTGAAGAATAATTTTATTATAAAGAATTCTAGACAAAGTTATTTTTTATCCTTACTAGTAGAAATACATTGAGCATTTGAAAGTTTGAAATTAGGTGCCAATGAAACACTCATCAACTTTATATTTCTCATGTTAAATCTTGCAAGCATTCGCTATGTGTTATCACTTTGATCCAACCAAGACTTTTTTTGTCTCAAATGTTCTTCTTGATATTCATGCCAAAAATACTCTTAGTAATATCTTAACTCTTCATATAACACTCATCACTTACTTGACCTTTGAGCTTATCAATATGAGATTGATCTTTAGCAAGAATAAGCATATCATTTCGCATATAGAACTAGTATGATAGAATTAAAGGTAAAATAACTAACGCACTCCATGCAAATTCAAGTGCTTTCATAGATTCATCAAAACATTTCTTTCATTGTCGAGCACATTACTCCAATCCATACAAGGTATTAAACATTTTACAAACTCTCATCTCCTTGAACTTTTTAGCAAAGCCCTAAGATTGTTTCATGTAATATATCTTCTCCAATGCTCGATACTGATAGCAATACCAATATTCATTTGATCTAATATAAGACAAAAAAATGATACAAGTGCACAAATTAACCAAATTATAGAAAGTTTAGCTATTGGAGAAGCGCATCATTGTAATCCACACGTTTATCTTGTGTATACACTTTGGCTAGTAAAATTTCTTTGTGAAATTTAATATACTCCTCTTCAGTATCATTTTTCAGCTTGTATGCCTAGGTTATAAGTGTAAAAGTTTAGGTTATTGAAATTATTGAAATTATTGAACATATTGAAATTCTTCTAGCTTACAAGTCTCATTATCTCATGTCTCCTAAAATTTGACAAATGCCAGGTTTGCCAAAATAAAGGTAATTTTGGCAATTTTTCTCCTTAATATTGACATTAACACTGTGATTTCACTATTTTTTGCAAGATGGCTTTGCAATAATTGTTTTAAACTTTGCAAATTGCTTCGCATGCATAATGTCTGTCAAAAAAAGACTGATCAAGATGATGCTAGAGTCAACATTCTCTCATTTGATGATGGAGTAATCACTTTCAACTGTTGTTGTATTTAGAAACACTAAAAGACTGCCAATGATCAAAACAAACATGCTAGTTAAATGATATGAAAGAAAAAAAGGAATTAAAGATATAAAAATTAACTTAGTTCTCTTGTTCTAGCCAAGAAAAGACTCACATTGATTGAAACAAATATGCTATACAAATGATATGATAGGAAAAAATAGAAAAAATAAATGAAATGTAACAATGTCATATGTAATCTAGCCACGAAAAGATTCACAATGATCAAAACAAACATGCTATAAAATTGATATGAAAGATAAAAAAATGATATAAAATGAAATGGTTTTGCACACTTTTGTTCCAACCAAGAAAAGTTTCATATTGATGAGAACAAACATGTTATAGAATTGATATGAAAGTAAAAAGATGAATTAAAAGTATGAAATGTTTTTGAACACTTTTGTTCCAACCAAGAAAATACTCACATTGATCAAAACAAACATGCTTATAGAAATTATATGAAAGTAAGAAAGTGAAAAAAATATGAAGTGTACATGATTTGTATTTTTTTTACTTCTTTTCTTTCTTTTGTGCACAGCTTGCTCTCCATCATTGAGTTCGTTAAACAAAAAAATTGAGCACATATTTGCAAATTTGGACAATTTAGAAGCACACTTAATTTTGCAATCCGCAATTCACAAGCAAATTCAAGCTCATGCATTAATGAGCTTTCTCGAGAACATGCATTCTTACCCTAATTTTTTCATTCTCGTTTTACTCTTGACTGCATGCATAAGGTTTAATTGTGAATGTCTTTACAGTTAAACCCCATGCAGTCAACATGAATGTCTTTACAATGAATGGAATTTTCGCAAAATTAATTTTGGAAGATTGGACAGATTAATTTTAGAAAATCTGGAGTCTAAAAACATAATGCTAAGTTTCATGTGGTCTGTTCTATATATATTTACTCGAGGTATTTACTTGATAGGATCCAGTCTGAACGTAAACAGCTTGATGGTATCCCACCGACGTTATGCATCACATCTATTTGGTATGAATAGACGGTGTAGTGGCTCTGTCGAAACGCAGTGGAGCTCGCAACCAATGGCGGAGCCCAAGGGGGGGCAGGGGGACGTTCTCCCAAGGAAACCCTGCCCCTGAAAACGTAGAAGTGAAAAAACACACGTGCGCAACTATTATAAAGCCAGCGTCACCTTACTGTTCTTTCTCTCCAGAGGAAAAAACCAGCCCCGTGGCATTCGAACTGTTTGTTCGACTCAAGATACTTATAGGAGCAAGCTTTGTAGTAGCACTTCGTTTCTCTGTACATTTGTTTGAACTGTTTGTTTCATTTAAGATACTCATTTGAACAAGCTTCGTAGGAGCACAAAGAACATTTGGAGAGTCCGCGTAGAGTAGAGATTTCTTTCTCCGGCCAGTCAGTCACAAAAGCAATCAGCACCCTACAAGCTACAGACTCTAATTGTTCACATGATCATTCCACGAACAAACTATTTTTAAGTTAGATTTTCACATTGAAGTTATCTTAGTGATACTTTGAATAGTCCAATAAACAAAAACATTCTTTCATTGCGACATTTTTTAGCATAATGTATTTGGATTCATCAAGTGGATTGTGTCTTCTTATTATGAATCTTGACACTTTCTCTTTCTCCTGGATACTATAGACTAAGATATTGTTCTTCCTAGAGACATATGTGATCAATGGGATGATTGTAAATTTTAAGCTATTTGCAATTAGTGTGGTTAAACGTGTAGGTATCACAATTATATTGTCACAAGGCAAGATAGCCATTTGATGAAATGAGATATTTGGGGCCTAAACTGCACTTCAAGAGTCATACCTATTTAAACCACGAAGAAATTTCATTTTGAAGAAATAATCTTCCATGCTCTGTTATGCAAGAGGTACATGTACATCATATGTTAAAACTGTTTGTTGGATTCATTATTGTACAGTTTCTCATAGAGTACAGGTTTGCATCTGAGATATATCAGAGTTAGTTTTTTTCTGGAAGAGAACATGCATTGTTTATTTCGATTGATGAGACTCACTAAGTACCGCCAAATGAACTCACTAAGTACCGCCAAATGAGACATTGTTTACCAAGAAAAACATCTTCGGAATTGGAGTGGCATTCCAGTACAGTGGTGTAAACTCAATCAATCTTTGTAGTAAGATGAGAAAGACTTAATGCTTTGATTGTGTTTCTTCCCTCATTGACCAACCGGAGAGTATAACATACATATGGTGTGATGGTTTTTGCTTTCAATGGAGGGAGCATATGCAATGGTGGTCTTGATCCCCGGCCCAAGACCGACCTCGACTGCTGCTGCTTGTTGTCGTACTTCTCATTTCACCGGTGATCGATTCGAGAACTGTAGTAGGTGGAGGAGCTCCAAAATGCTTGGTTGATCTCGTCTTGAACCGAGATAAAGATTGTATCGTATATTATGTACGTAT